GCAAGGTTACTTAGCAATGGTTGTGGGACAACTTTTAAAAGTGCAGTAGGACTATGCCATATGCTCTAACTTTTAGAGGGTGCTGGATGATGACGCCATGCCGGTAAGTACTATCATACAGTAATACATGTACTGTATGGTCCATGCATATGCTAGGCTAGCTAGCTAATATCACCGTCATGTACGGTGTACCGGCGTTGGCGTTGGGCATCGCCACTCGTCCCTGAAAACATCCCGTTAATTAACGGCTTATCATCCACCCTTGTTGAATGTAATGATCATCGAATCGAATCGAATCGAATCGAGTCGAATCGAATAGAATCGATTCGAATCGAATCAACAAAGTGACGCTGTACTCAGCCAGTTAAGCTGTTTTTCATTGTCGGCTCCCCACCCCATGCTTACTCTTCACCACTCAATTATTCCTTCGCGGAACCTCTCGCTCAAGATGTTGTCCAAAGAAGGCATGGGTATGGTAGCAAGCTCCTGTGAACGAATACATACTAATGTCAACATCCACAACCAACAACAACAGCGCCTCGATCAAGAATGATGATCCAGAATCCGGTTCCGATTCGAGCGGCCGCCAGTATGCGTCGATTGCCGAAATGTGGAATGCCCAGGGAGTGGGTGCCTATACTCCCCGCTCCCAGATCCAACAAGTGTGGTATGACAAGGCCACAGATTGGTACGAAGAGAATTGTCCTGCAACGGTGGATGGCGTCTTGGGTGGTTTTGCGTCCATCAGTGAGATTGATTTGAAGGGGTCCCATGCATTTTTACAAGAACTGCAGCAGCAACAACAACAACCCACATTGGATTGGACCCTGGGGGCTGGTTGTGAATGTGGAGCTGGAATTGGCCGTGTTACCAAGGGTTTGCTACTACCATTGGGAGTGACTCAGGTTGATTTGGTGGAATCGTCGTCTCGATTGCTATGCGAGAGTCCCGAGTATATCGGCGAAGAAGGAGCGGCCAACTGTAAATTTTATTGCAGTGGTTTGCAAGATTGGACTCCTCCATCGGGCCGGTATTATACCATTATCTGGATTCAATGGGTCTTGATATATTTGACGGATGACGATGTCATTTGCTTTTTGAATCGATGTGCGGATTCACTGCTACCGAATGGCAAGGGAGTGATCGTGGTGAAAGAAAATACAACTGGTGATGGGGAAACCTTTGTGGTGGACAATGACGATGTATCAGTCTGTCGATCGTTGCCGTATTGGTTGAAGTTGATTGAAAAGGCTGGTCTGAAAGTGGTTTACCAAAAGATGCAAACGGACTTTCCCCCCGACATCTTTCCAGTTCCCATGCTGGCATTGACAAAACAATAACAATCATCAACCACTACTTGCTAGCTACCGGTAGCTTGTATCTGACTTAGTTAGTATGAGAATATATTGTAAAAGGAGGAAAGAAGATAGCAGACAGGGGGTAGCATTAGAATGGACTTCTAGCTAGACTTGTACTGGTGGATGCGAGCGGATTAGTGCAAGGGCTCCGTGCAATTTCTAAAACCATCACGTTTTACCCCATCCCCCCCGTCCGAATACTATTTCAATTATTGGAATGAATTCGATTTGAGTGATGATTCGAATCGACTCGATTCGATTCGATCATTCAACCTCATGATGTTTGGCGATGCAGAACGTCCAGAACTCCTCGTGTGCAGCCTCTCCAAATGGCGCCCAACAAGCACTGCTGGATTCAATTCAAAACTGCGGTACCAATTGCAAAATATGGTGGCTTTGAGGTAATACATCTACAAATACCGCTGCTGGTATGAGGCCTCCTCTACTTTCACTGGTGGCTGCATTGCTTAGCCTTCCTTTGGTGTGGGCGGACAGCTTTGATGATAAGGCCAATGAGCTTCTTGCGTCCACCAAAGTGCGAGGATTTGCAGTGGCAATCAGAGTTCCCGTGAGTGCATGTCTTGTAGATTCTTGCAGGCTCATCATGTGTTGCATCATCATTCTCACAAGCACTTCAGGAACAAACCAATCCAGTGATTCGAGCCTATGGAAAGGTCTCGGCTGCTGCAAATGCTGCTGATGTCACTACAGATACAGCTTTCATGATGGCTTCTGTCTCCAAGCCGTTTGCAGGAGCGGCAATCGCCAAAATGATCGATCAACGATTGATCACTCTGGACACTGACATTCGAACCGTCCTTCCTGCTGGATATGCGGCAACCAACTATCAAAACCCACTTCATACCTCCAAGGCCGTTACCTTTCGGCATATTTTGACACATCGCTCTGGACTTCGGGCTGTGGTTCCCGGTGTGGACGATACCAACGGAGAAGAAGTGTACCCAGACTATGGTCCCGCAAATGGATACTTAGGGATTGCTGTGGGCAATCCTACTTGCTCCTTGACAGATGTCAAAGGGTTTTATCGAGATTATATGGAAGAAGGGGCGCCTGATACCACAGTTGGGAGGGCCGATCTATCTGTCTTCCCCGGGGGTACTTTTGATTGGTACACCAATGCCGATGGTGCCAATGCTTGGTCAAAAAATGCTCCCGGAGCCAGCAACGTCTATTCCAACTTTGCAATGGGATATATTGCTGCTCTGGTAGAGCACAAGACAGGAATGAGTTTTAGTCAATACTGTGACACAAACTTGTTTGGTCCTCTGGGCATGACAAACACAAAATGGCTGCGGGAAGAGTTGCCCAACACAACTCAACAGGCTGTTCCAGTTCGTTCAAATGGAGATGGCACGTACTTTGATATTGGCCACTATTGCTTCATTGACTATACAAGTGGACAACTTTACACCACCGCCAACGACGCTGCAAAGTGGGGGGATGAAATGCTCTCCAAGGGTACTGCAACACTTTGGTCATCGGCAACTGCGGCACAAGTGTTTGGCTGTCAGGAGAAAGATGAAACTAACATGCAACTATCTGAGGCTGACTGTGGTTATTCCTTAGCTTGGGAGTATCTAGGAGCTGCCAAGAAGGACAGTGTGATTGCGGACTATCCTTGGATGGCAGTTTTTGAGAACTATGATTGGACCGACAGTGTTGAGCATGGTGGTAGCGAACAAGGAGTAACGACTCACTTTATCATCTTTCCAATTGCAGGCGCCTACGGTGTGGTCATGATCAACTCATCCGGGCCAGAAAGAGACACTGCTGCAGCCGAAGCTGCTCTTACTATACTTGAAGAGCTTTTCCCCGAGGCACAAAAAACCAAGACACCAGCACCTTCTCCCCCCTGCTTCCCCGCTTCCTTGTACACATCAGTCATCCAGCAAGCATCCCTCCTTGTGGACTCCGCAGCGCTGGCTTTTTCCAGGTTCTGGTCTTGATATCGTACTACTAGTAGTAGCACATGCTCAGGGCAAGGCTGAACTTGCCACGGCAGGAAGCTGCACTGGCAGCAACCTCTGACCAAGCCATTTGAATGTCAGAAAGATTTTACTCTCTTCGGTTATTATTGCTAGTTGTATATGTAGGTGTCACGGCCAAGTTGATTTAGGCATCCATTGTGTAATACCGATCAGGTCAGTCAACCTAGCTAGTGCCTTGTTGAATGCTGACAACTCACACTTTTGAACTCTTTCTCCTTTTGGTTTGTTCCATTTCCTCGCTTTTTTAATCAAATAGTTGTTGTTTTATGCCTTGTGCGTGGCTGGTTGTTGTTGTTGTTCAGGCAAAACTCCCTTGTTGAGCACGACCAGTCCTTCTCCCAGGGCATGCACGGCACTATTATTATTGGCCGGGTCGATGAGTTCTGCCGTCACCGAGACCTTTCGTCGTTCCACTTTTGTGATTTTTGCTTTGACCAGTAAAAAGCTATCGACGCGAATTGGTTTTTTGAGGCTGGTATTGACCTGCACTGTGAATCCCGTCCAAGGTCGGCATGTGCCCGTGGTCAAAAAGGCACACCATCCAATGACATCGTCCATCAAACCGGTCATGCTGCCACCATGACAGAATCCCTTGTGACTTTCGGCACGCGGTGTAAAGTGACAAATTCCCGTCAAGGTCGTGTCGACACCTCCTTTGGAAGAGATGCATGTATTATTATCGGTAATAATGCCGCTTCCATACTGGACAAAATATTCCAGGACACGGACGGGAGCGTGATGATCGTGCACCAAATCCCGTCCTTGCCAACCATTCTTTTGCCGATACGAATCGACATCGTCCCATTCCGGGACACCCAGCGGTTCGCCCCAATCGTCGCGGAGTTGTTCCACCCACGCGGGCAAATTCAGACAGAGATCATTGTCGCGTTCGGTATTCAGCCTGTCCGGGTCGGTTGTGGTTGTCGGAAGAGACTCTTCCAAAGCTGGATTCGTAGAGAGCAGTGTCATGATCAGGAACAACGATAGTTACTGCACTTGCTATTATCTGGCTAGCTAGTAGAAGTGGACCAACAAAGTAGGATATTAGACCTGTGACATCGATGTATGTATGGTACCAGTATAAGTGTGGGCAAGTCAACCACAACACTCCATCCAAGTCCCATGAGGGCCGCGATCGATTGACGTCGCCGTCATCAGAATGATTGTGAGTTCTGACCTGTTCCCTGCATAAGCCGGCTTAAAGTGAGGGTTAGAGTTAGAGTGACGTAACGAAAGCCGTTGCTTTTGAAGTTGCGTGGTGGTTGCCTCGAGGTCTCACTCATCACAAACTCAATGAGCTGGGCAGTAGTTCATCCATCACTTTCATGTTGCAGAAGAACAAGTTCATTCTCATTCATTCTGTTGACTTGTTCCGCAATAGTAAAGGCATTCATTCATTGATCTATTCACCATGATGACAATTCCTGTTTCCTCCATTGCCAAGACATGGCAACACTACCGAGGCACCTTGTCTTGCAGCCCCAAGGCGAGAGCCATTCTCAGCATGGCTTTGGCGAGTGCCATTCATTTTGCCGGATATGAATACGCCAGAACTGGGACATTGACGCTCGTCACGTCGGAACGAACGGGCTTTTCCAATTCTTCCGTTGTGCCCTTTGCCTTGGGATTTGTCAGTCCGATATCGTTGCTACTGCTGTGGGTGAGTGAGTACACAATAATAGTAATCGGGTTCAGTTTTTGGAAGAAATGATCTATTTTCTTTGCTTTGCTTTCTTCTATTTGTTCTTTTTTTCTCATTCATTTTCTCCTTCGTTTCTTCTTCTGATCATGCTACAGCTCTACGCCAGAATGCTAGACTACTCGGGACCCAACATTGCCTTGCGGAACTGCCATCTCGCATACGCATTGATTCTCTGTCTAGGTGGACTTTTCCTACAAGCCATTGATCCAGTACTACTACCTCTCAACATGTATCATCAATGCAGTCGATTCTTCCTATTCGCACTCTTTGTGCTCGAAAATGGATTTGTGCAATTGCTCTTTACACAACATTGGGCATTTATGAGTTCCATTCAGACGCGAGAACAAGCCGCGATCTGGTTTGCACCCATTGCTGGAATTGGATCCATTGCATCCACGGCGGCTGCATTTACCGTCGCGCCATTGACCGATTACATGGGATTGCCCGCATTGCTCATTTTAGCAGGAATTAGTATTGGCGCCAGTGCCTTTTTTGCCATGGATGCCTACCATTTGGCAGAGCAGGTGAGCAAATGCAGAAAACAAAGAGCCAAAATAATATGACAAAAGAAGCCAGGAACATTCTCACTCACATACACGAAATCAACCCATTTCGTTTCATCTTGTCAATGATTCGATTCCACAGCACGGATTCGAACCATCACCCAAAGAAAATGAAAAGAAAACCATTGCCAAGAATGATGGCAAGAATCTATTCCAACGAGCCATTGCGCTCTTTCAAAGAGTGCCCTTGCTCGGAGCGCTATGCTTTGAAGTTATCTTCTCCCAAGCACAATCGTCCTTGCTCAATTCACTCTTTGTACTCAAACTCAAAGATTCCATTCCGGAAGATGACGAGAGAGCAAGGTATACCGGGAATGTAAGCCAACAACAAGAGAAGAAAATTAAAACGTGCCTTCCGATCTTCCAATGACTTACCTGCCCTCTCAAACTTGTATTTATCTGGTTACAGTGTTATGCCTGCATAAACGGATTCAGTGGAGTGCTACAGTTTCTTGTACTGCCATTCTTGGCCAGACGACTCAACAATCGACAATTGTGGCTCGTCATGCCTACCATCATGACGGTTTGTGCTGTTTTCATCAGCCTGCAACATGCCGGGAGTATTCATTCCGTCTCGGGATCTTTTCTGCTTATGAAAGCCATGGAGTATTCCGTACGAGGAGTAACAACAGAAATGGTTTACGTGAATTTGGACTACGAAAGTCGGTTCCTGGGCAAAGAGATTATTGGCGTCTTTGTGAATCGCGTGGGCAAGTCGTTGGTAGCGATTGGTCTCTCCCTTGTGACCGTCTACTTTGGATCGCAGTCAGGGTTGCAGTATCTGTCATTGGCATTGGTGGCAGTGGCTGCTGGATGGCTCTTGGTGACGTACCGATTGACAACCTTTCTCGAGGATTCACCTTCAAAAGAGAAGCAACAATACCGGAGTGCGCCGGCAGCAACATCCAAATCCAAGAAAGAGTAGAAATCTGTAGAACGAGAAAAAGAAAAAAAGCAAGGAGGTTTGGTCGGAAGCAGCAACTTTGCCCTTGTGCACGTGTGAATGAGTGGTCCGTCGAAGGCCACAGACACATGGCCGCGGAGGATGCTTCATGCATCATCAGACCACGTCATTGGCATGTACCATGCAGAAGCCCGAATCATTCAAAAATTGAATCGAGATGAACTCCGATCTTTCAAGACCTGATGATTACAGTTAGGTCGAGGCCGTCCAGGTTTGCGTTCCCGGCTTCTTGGTGCATGTTTCTATTGCCTGCTGAATATTTTCCATTCAATGAACATTCAATGAATGGATACACTTTGCTATGTTCTACCTTTCAAGCGTGTATAAATCTGCATTATGCTTCTTGGTGTGTATAGTCGGCTCCTAATCGACGGGCATACCGGTACCCGCGAACATATCGAGCTGGCTGCAGTACATGTAGCCAGTTCCGTAGAGCGACGGTTGATTGAATTCAGTAGAGTATCAGAGCTGTGACAGTCTCCTGTGCCTTCATTGAAAACGCAGCTTCCCCTAAACCGGTACCATTACCGTACGGCCGTGCGGGACGAGAAGAACTCAACCCAACAGACTGTAAACACCCATGTCTTTCCTCACCTACCTGAAGAAGGATCTACCAATGGTTATTTCGACCTTGCAGGGGCCTGAAATGGTGTTCAAAGGAGCTGTCAAAGGTTGGTTGACCTTCACTGAAAATACATTAGTCTTTAGTCTATGGTATGGTGTGAGTACGTGAAGGCTACACTCCAAAAGTAACAATTACTTTTTTAAGGTTGTTCCCCTCTAGCTAGCATTGACTGAGCCAATATAGAGGACCCCTATTTCCCAGACAGCAAAGGTGTCCACTTGGGAGGGGCCTCCAACTGACCTCCCACCAGAGAAAAATAAACCTCCAATTGGCTGGCATGGATGCAATTTCTCCATGGTCCACAAGACCACAACTACTATTTTAGAATAGTACGGTACTGGTACCCGTAGCTACCGCTAGCTAGCTACTGTATTCGATCTAGCTAGCTAGTGCATGTACAGGAACGGTGTACTCGTAGTGGTGTCGTAGTGCGTACTTCGTACCAGTACGACTGTACATGTACGAATGTACGAGGGCTACCCACGTCAGTCAGTCATTACGGTTTCTGAAGAGACAACATGAGATTTAGTGTCGGTGGTCAAAACCTCATCAAATGACTGTGGAGGGTTGTCTCTTCCGAAACTCTCTCCGCTCTCACTTTTTGCTTCCTTTTTGTTATTGCTGGTCGGATACCGTATACTAGTACCCTGCTACCAAGCCCAAGCCCAACTTACGACCACAAACCATAAAATCGGGACCAACAACCACTGTAAGCGAGTTCCAGCAGCAACAGTAGTCGCATGCCACAGTTCTCAGATCTCGCCTTGGAAGCAGCCTCATAATCATCAAGCCATCCCACAAACACTGATCCTCGATTGTGCATTCATTTCTTCAATTTCGAACAACCATATAGGTTGACAACCATGAGCGAGATTGAGGTTGACGTGGCCGAAAATCATGTCAAGGATATGAAAGAGGAGGCTGAAAAGGCCAAGAAACTGTTGAAAGAAATGGAGGCAGGCTTGAATGAAGATTTAGATTTTGGAGAGGAAAGCTTTGAACAGCCTGCTGAGATTGCGGGGACTGGATTTAGCCTGACAGATACACTGTTGGGTGGAAAAGGTCTGTTTGACAAGAATTCCGATGACCCAGACGGAGAGACGTCGGAACCTGGCAAGATACCTGTGATACCGGTAAAAGTCAAAAAGGAGGAATCCGTGTGGGAAAAAATGCAACAACAAGCAATAGAAGCGTCAGAGCAAAAACAAAGGAAAAGGCTGAGAAGGAGAGCAAGGAAAAGGCCGAGAAGGAGAGCAAGGAAAAGGCCGAGAAGAAATCAGAAAAGAAAGGAAAACGCAGCAAAAGCAAGGGCGTCGCAGCTGAGGAGGAGGAACCAGTTGTGGAGGAATCCAAGAAAAAGAAAGACAAAGTAAGACGCAGCAAAAGTAAAGATGGCATTGAGGAAGAACTAGCGGCGGATGAAGGAAAGAAGAAGAAAGACAAAGCAAAACGCAACAAGAGCAAGGATGGCACTGAGGAAGGAGAACCAGTGGTGGAGGAATCCAAGAAAAAGAAGAAGAGCAAGAGCAAGGATGGCGCCGAGGAGGAGGAACCAGAGAAGGAAGAATCCAAGAAAAAGAAGAAGAAAAGCAAGAGCAGTGTTGCAGCTGAGGAGGAGGAGAGCCAGCCGCGGAAGAGGGCAAGAAAAAGAAGAAAAAGAGCAAAACGCAAAATTCGCTGAGGAGCAGGCGCCGGAGGCAAAAGCAGAAGAGGAGAGCAAAAAAAAGAAAAAATCTCCCAAGCGAAGCAAGTCCGGCAAGGAGAATCTGGAATAGACTGGGCATTGCGCCGTCAGTGGAAGTGGAACAGAGAACTCAAACCAACCAAATGTACCAAACCAAATTTGATATTCATAAGATGTTTCATAGTGAATTGTACGGGGGCTCGTTCACTCCAGTACAAGTTGATACGTACTAGCTAGCTTTTGTTAAGCATCCAGCAAGTGCAACGGGCAAAATTGTAGCTTGCGTCGCCTTGGGTAGAGCATGGGTTGTGCATTCTTCCTACAAAATCCTTTGGCACCGTACCGCAATAGACAGTGCGAGCTTTCGTGTCGTGAGATAAAGGTGGGGGGGCGGCCTACAAGCCTCCGAGACCAAGATCGAACCTCTGGACACCAGTCTCGTCTGGATGTCCTGGCGTGGGGCCGTGTCAGGATCAGTCTCTCCTCTTCATATTCCCCACAGAAGGACAGTTGGATGAAAAGAAGTACAACTTGACATTGCTGGCTTGATTGGATTCCAACAAAAGGATTGGTGGACAAGAATTCAATACCCTCGTCCGCGCGTTGTGCCCAAGATCTGGGGTGACTAAAGAGAAAGGCCTATAGACTCCCACAAAAAGCAATGAAAAAAGAGCTTGGTGACGCCGCTCAACACGACGGCAATCAAATGACACCAGGAGAGCACATAAATGTCACGACAAATGCAAAAGAAGACATACTGTACGGAGTAGTCACTTGCGTTACAACTGCTCCCCTATAGTGTATTTATATTTGGCTGCCGTCTGCGGCACTTTTCTTGCCTTGCTGTACCGCAGCCCTGAGAGGAGTACATGTTGAGCACGTCTGGTCCTTGCATCGCCGGTAGTGCGTCAAGAGATATCGAGAAGACAAACATCGTCGAAACCCACAGTGGCCGTTTCTGCAGAGCAACATGTGGCTCCAGAGGATTTTCATGCTGTCACATTGCGGAGAGATTGGACATTCACCACCTTTGAATGTGCACAGTGCAGAATGGCGCAACATAAGCAATCGACTTTGCCGTCGGCAAACCGCAGCATAGCTGTGACTGTCTGCCACCGCGGCGGTGCATGCAGCTAACTCCGGGTTGACCATTACAAAATCGATCCAAACTTCCTTGAAGTCGGGGATGTCGTTTCGAGGCAGAGAGAGGTTCGTCTTGGTTGCTTATATTGGTTGCTTATATTGCGGTTTAGAGGATGCTATTGTGGTCCAAGGCGAAAGGAAATTGGACAATGGTATAGTAGTTGTGGGCTTCAGTGAGAATGGGATCAGGTACTGGTACCGGTACCATGTACCGGTACCGTAGTACCTGGTATGGATGTATCAAACAGGGAACCAGCTAGCCAGTATCTATGCAGTATTGAAGAAAAAGATCAACCAAATCCTCAACTCGTGCGGATAACCCACAGTAAGCTGAAGAAAGAACCTCTCATGCGAGTGTTTTGACAACTCTTTGGGATATGCATAGGTGCCCTGGATGCTCCAACGCGTGTACTGCCGTGGTAGGTTGCTCCTGGCTGGACTGAAACCGTGGCAGGTTAATCATTGACTTCTTCCTTGTTTTCTGCGTGATTTTTCTAGCTTCCCCCTTGGCTTTTCAGTTTTCGTATGTGTTGTCGGACTGGAATGCATATTTTGCAACCAGAGCATCGCTTGTAGCGGTACAGAACGTATCTCGAAGATAAACAGTGCCGGACTTCGCATGGGTTATCCCTGCAAGGGGTTTCAATGTGTTCCCATAGTTTCCTCATTGCACCACAATGCCGAGTGATTGGACATTCCTCAGGTTGGTAATCGCAACGAGCGGAATGGTGCAACAACAGTAATCGCTGCTGTTTGGTGAGATCCTTCTTGATCCGGAGCTGTTCAGCTTGATCAACTGGACCATTGGTACCGTCCTCTATCATCGAGCATCTCATGGAAGTCGCCAAGTTTGGGTCAAGCAGAGCTAGATTCATCCATCCTTCCGAGAGGTCCGGCATCTCATGTAGCTCGTCCATTGCCGAGGCGCAGTCGAATTCGTGGAAGCAACAGATAGTTTCGCTGCAGGTGGTGTGCGATTGCCCTCTAAGAATGAAATGCTGAACTCGCATCGAGTTCCAACTTGCATCGAGTTCCACGGTGTCGGACGTCGGCGACACAGCTAGCTAGTAAGGTGGCTGTGGTGTTTTTGTCATTGGAACAAGAACACGACGCGCACTTGCTCTTAAACACGTTTCAACTTTCACCGTAGAGTAGTTGAGGCTACTGTTTGCCCGGATACATTCTTTCCAATGGGTGTTGGGCTCACTGTGTGCGAGACCCCAAGAGAGTAACTCTGGTGCTTGGTGTTCCCTTGACAGAGGCCGTCCACATTTAGTGGATCTTGACTCTTGACAGTGCAGGTCCTTCGATCTGGAAATTGAATGATCCAATTCGCATGCACCTTGAGGAGAAGGAGGCAATCTTGAAAGGATTTGGAGGGAAGGGCACCGTTGCCTTCGAGCCTGCCTTGATGCTCGGAGGATCTACTTTAAGGATGGAATACGAGCATTGCGGTTTCACTTTTTCAAATCTATCTCAGTGCTATTGTTCTGTCGTCAAGCCACCAGCTGTCTAGCTAGCAGGTCCATTTTCACCTTGCGTTTGCTTGCCGGAAGGACAAATTCGATGTTTCTCCCTACCGGTAGCAATCCCTTCTGCTCTCTTTCTCGACGCATTTGTGTTGCTGTACTTGTTGCTCTCCATACGGGCAATCCCCGTACTAATTCTTATTGTGGCTTCGACAATCGAGATCTCCCCACGGACCATCATGCATTCAATTTGGTGGGGTGGCCAGGCAGCAAGCTGGCATTCTTCACTGCAATATTCCCACATAAGGCACTCGGAGCACCACTGGGTGTCCCTGGTGCGGCCGCCGCAGTAGTCACAGCTTCGGGTTTCAGGATGGTGCTCTAGCACCCTCTTTTTGGGGCCGTTTAAGCAGTCACAAGGGACCTTCTTGTCCAAGTAAGCGATTGCATCATTCCAACTCCCAGTATGTTTGACAAAGGACCACTTGATAGAAGTCATTTTTTCGCTTGGTTGGATGGGACACTGTTTTGAGGAGCTTTTGTCAACATGGAGAGCCGCCTGAAAAGTCTTCCAAGCCTTGTCACACCCCCTCCTCGGCGTTGCATCGGGTGTAATCTTTACTCAAAAAGGAGGCTGCTAGTCCATAGAGAAATAGTTTCGTGTCTGAATGGTTCAAGACCGGGTGTTTCAAGTGAAGACTGTGCATCGAAATCGATCCATCGCGGCCATAGTTGGTACCAGGAGCCGTTGACCACCACAAGTCGTCAAGGAATGCCTGCATAGCTTTCCCATCCACCGCATCCAAATATCCAGCTGGCATTCCATGCAGACACAGACCTTTCTTCTCCATGTTGGCCACATGTCCCTTCACGTTGGAGACGCCGTGGCGTTGCTGCTTTTGCCGTTGTCGCCATTTCTTGCTGATGACGAGGAAGAAGAAGGCTTCTTGCCGTTCTTTTGTATTCCTTTTTTCTTGCTACTGCGGCGGTTCTTCATCTTGCACAAGAAGAGCAACACCTCACTATTAATACCACCTTTCTATTCAAACGGTGGAGAGTTGTAATCGGCACTGTATGGTACGGACTTGAAAGGGTGAGTGGAAAGCCGCTGAAATGAACCTTGAATGTCCATTCGATCTTCAACGATTGATCATTCGATTCGATTCAACCTCTTCAAAGGGAGGCATCGGTTCTGAAAGCAAGGCCGTTTGGTTCGTGAAACTAAGACGCGCACTTGCTGTAAAACACGTTTCAACTTTACCAGTAGGGTTGAAGCTAATTTTGTATCCAAATGCGTGTTGCGTGTCGACAAGATTTTGTTTCTTCTTCAGCTTTTCAAAGAAGAGGCAAGGAATCAAATCATTCGGTCGAAACTCTAGCTAGCTAGTAGCCAGAGCAACTCATCATTATCTCTTCTGAACTACTTAATTGCTGCCTCCTCGTCTGCTTGTGTTAGTTCGGTGCTTTATCCTTGCCTTGCTGATCTCGCGGAAGTACCGCCAGAATCGTATCGGATTCTCTTTGACACAGACAGAGGTATACCGCCGACGAAAGAAGAGACGTGAAGAATCCTCCTTGTACCGTTGTCTCCTTTATGCTCTACTGAAGGCGTCTCTCTTCAACTGGATCGCACCTAACCGTCTTGAAACAACCTCTCCTCAGGCTTGTTTTCGGTTCTTTATCTTTCGGATTTGACCTGTCTGTTGGTCCAGCACGAGTTCGATCGCCGAGAATTTTATCCCGACAACTCGATCATTCCGTATCCAGAACATATCTGGGTTCTAAATCAAGCTTAAGAGAAAGAGATCAAGAGACAAGACATCATGGGCCGCCAACAAAACAGTAATAGTCACAGCCATCAAGGCCAACGAGACCGGTCTTCTTCAGGTGGTGCCGATCTGCTGAACTTTCACTTTTCTTCTGGTCCTCCCAGCCAGACACAATCCAACAACAATGGCCGAAGACGCAATCAGCAGAACAACCATCATCACCACAACAACAATCACCAAAGACGGAACAGCCAGCAGGATCGATCAGCGGTCCGTCGCAAGCCCAACTCACACATGTTCAATCTGCATTCGTCGGCTGACCATGCCTTTGTCATCACGCGCAAGGGGCTGAAGCAGCAACAGTATTCCTTCTCGGGGTCGGATGAAGCTGTCTCCTGGGAATCCGTAAAAATGGTCAAAGTGTTGGTTCCTTCGCAACAATCATCATCACCAGCTGCGACTAGCAACAACTCTTCCTCTTCGACAATGTCGTGTCCCATTTGTCTGGATGGACTGGTCTGTGCCCGAATCACCAAATGTGGCCACGTCTTTTGCATATCCTGTTTATTACGACATGTTCAGGTTCACGCACAGTCCAATCCATACACACACGTCAAGTGTCCCTGTTGTGCTGTGCCATTGCTAGTACCTGACCTGCGACCCGTCATTCTCGTTTCGTCATGGACACCCAAACTCCATCAACGTCTGAAACTCGTCAAGTTGCATCGGACCAAGGATTGTCCTTCGCCCTATTTACCACTCCCACAACAACCCAAGCGATCTACCACTCATGCGGCTCCCGCCGTGACCGATGCCGATGCACCCTTTTGCCGATTCAACTATATCGATCCAAAGGCCTATCAACAACACTTGCAAGCTAACAAGGTGGAACTGGAAGAATCATTGAAACAACTTACGGACACCAAAAACGTGCATCCTCAGCTACAGTACCAGAACCAAGTCGAAGCCATCTTTGTCACGTCTGCTTTGGATACGGTACAAAAGGAGCTACAAAAGGCTGTTGAAGAACAGGATCAGGAAGACGAAATGTCGGCCACTTTTTCGGGTGGTGGCAGCGGAGTCTATCAAACACAGCCTCCGCATCTCGTGGCCAGCAACTACGAATTTGTCACGGCCCCCTTGCCGCATCAACAGCAGCAGCCAGCAGAGGGTGATGACGATGCGACTCGACGTCGCAGCGAATCCATTGGGTCCGAAAGCACGGCACCACGGAGGTATCGAGGTGATTCCATTGGATCCTATGCCTCGGTGGATACTAGTTGTCACAGTCAGACGACCGCAGAAGATGCCGTGCCCCTCTCACCCACCGGTGCGTTGCAACAACCAGCAAAGCAAACTGGCAAACGCAATAATAAACCGCGCAAAAAACAAGAGTTTCCCAAGGCAAGCATGTTCTTGGACGACGAGGGAAGTACGCACTTTTATCAATCGGAAGATGGTCAGTTGTGCTTCTTGTCGAGGTTCAACATGTCCTGTCTCTTGGCAGATTTTTCACCCAAGGTGCCGAATGATGGTGTTGTGGTTGATGATGTTGCCTCGATGAACTTTTGGCAACGGAGGCGTCTACTGCCATTGCCCGATACTATCGAGGGTGAAATCCTTGAAATTGAAAACATTCATCTGACGCCAGAGGTGCGAAAGAGGATGCCGTTTCTGGCGCATTTGCCTCTCTACGCGGACATTCAGTTTGTAGAGTTGGAACTGCACTCCCTGCTCAGCAATGATACGAAACGAAAATTCAAGGCAGACTTTGAAAAGCGGAGGAAACGGCGACAGAGCAAAGTCAAAGCAGAGAAACGGGAAGACAAGGTGGCTCGTCTAAAAGAGGAAGAACGAATCAACGAGTTGAAAGCACGCATGCAACAAATTGATCCAAACGATGAATTCTTTATGGTTTCGCCACCGCCGGAAGAACCCGTTCAACTCACTGGTGATGCATTTGGGCCTGCCATTGCGACAGGGGCTGCTGCCAGACCGGCTGCAGCAGCCAATGTGAATGCAGCCTTTAGTTTTTCCAACGTGATCCAATCGGGTGGAGCGGCCCTGATCAATGCAGAGTGCAACTTTCCTGCTTTGGGGGCACCCTCGCCGTCTCCCAAGAGGACCCAAGCGCAACCTGCACCCACTTGGGGCAGTCCTTCGAGGTCCAATCAGCCAGCACCGACTTCCTGGGGTCCTCCTCCGCAAGTGAGCTCCCCACAAAAGGCAAAGACACTTCATGAAGGTGTCGCGACTGGTCTACCGGTTTCAAAGCAGGCACCGCCAGTTCCTGGCGGCAAGAAGAAAAAGAAAGGCAAGAAAATCGTGCTGTTCTCTTCCGGGGGACAACGAGGCACTCCCTACTAGCTAGCTAGACTATTTCTTGTAAGTTAAACTAAACGAAGCTTCGAAGAGTGCGCAGTCCCAGACTACAATCACATAGTCAAAACTTGCACTTTTAAGTCTCTCATGTCAGCTGCAGGCAAGCAATATGCAGCAACAGAGCATGTTTGTCTATGGTTTTGGGGTGGCATTATTTTTCATCCTCATTCGACGTGTCCTCTTCCTCGGAAGGCTTCTCTCGGGCAAAAAACTTTCCGATCAGCTGAGAGAGAGTTGGCGTGATGAGCAAACAGCGTGGATCAGTTGCACGGCCCATTTGAAAGAGGCGGCAGGTGTCCTGATGTCCCTGTACGAGTACTTACCTGACCCCGCATACCAGTCTCTACATGAAATCTGGCAGCGTCGTCGTCACTCTTGATCTTTCCGTCTTTTTCCCACTCTGCCCATTCGTCTTTGGTGACGGATGAGGACTCAAACAGCCGTTCATTCGCTCCTTCCCAAGAAAGTTTCTTGGCTACTTCCTCCGTCAGAGGCACTGGCTCATGGGCAAGTGCATACTCCAGTTTTACCAAGCAGTCTTCTAGGCTTGTGTAAGCCAAGCAGTTCGGAAACTGGAGAAAGAACATATTCGACGCTGTCACAAGCAAGAAAAGCAAGATCAACCAAAGGTTAGTACGGGACGTCCATGGTCAACAAGTCTGACGCGTCAAGCACTTACGGTGTTTTGGGAGGATGACAAACTTGCCCATCGCCATAGCTTCTGCACTGGTAGTGCACAAGACTTCCGTGATGGACATGTTCAAGAAAATCTTGTGTTCCCGAATGTCCCGAAGCAAAACGTGATCCTTGGTGCCAAGGAAACGGGCTTGGATGGGGTTCCGGCGAAACTCAAACACCGATTGCGGCGGGTCAAAGATCAGCTTCTGCTTCCCGGACTTTCCATTTTCTTCGTTCGACGACTCACTATTTGTCTTGCTTCCTCTGGGCGTCCCGCCGTCGTTGGCGAATGCAACGTTCAAGCCAGCATTGACAACGTTCTTCGCCACTGCCACTGCTGCACCGGTTGTGGCCTTGGTGGTATCCAAAGCTTTCAACACGGTATGCCCGACCACTGATATAGGCACGACTTTATCCGTAATATTCTCCAGTAAGGACCCTCTTTTTGTACTACTTGGGCGCTTGGGGTTGAGCGCTTTGCCTTCGAAGACATTTACCTCCGACTTGTCGACAGAAATCCTGCGCCTTGCAACGTTGCCTTCAAACTCGTCAACACTCTCGTGCTTTTCAGTCTCTTTGAACGGAACAGCTTCCACTAGGTGACTTCGGAGCGAACTCTCCCAGGTGAACACCTCAGCAGTGTCGGGAGAACTCGGTTCTGGTTTCGGGGACTCACTTCGTTGAATTTGAGGGATGCGGCCAAAGAAGGCTCGTTGGATCGCTTTTTCATCGCCACCAGCGCCGTAGACGTCGATCGGAAAGTAGTCATTGTTCTTTTCTCTGTACAGGTTTTCCAGATCCAAAATCTTATCAAACCCTTTAGCCCAAATGAGCTTGCCAATAAAGTACACTGGTGCGTGTTGCTCATCATTATCTGCGGGTTGTTTACCTTCGTTTTCCTTCGGGAGGTCCAAGAATTCGCCGCGAACTCCGTGCACATTGCAAGTGACTTCCTTGTAAGGAGTCAGAGAGGGAAGTGTCCCACTGAGCAAGATGACTCGATGGCAGTAGGCTCGAATCACCAGAGCGTTGATTGCGCACAACGCAGGTGCTTGAATGAACTTTGCACCCATTCCATACTGTTCGGCATACGCCTTGTAATTGGTGTGGATAATTCCGACAACATGCCGAAACTTGAACCGCCATCCAAGCTCTGCTTTTTCTTTGGCAGCGGCTACATGCTTCTTGGTTGCTGCGCTGTCCTCGTTGTCTCTTGCCTTCATCTTGTTTTGCTTTTTTTCTTCTTCAGTCTCTTTGTACGGCTTTGGCACTCTCAGCCAATTCAAATGTTCTGGTTCCTCCAAGATGGCAATGTCGGCTTCCTGATCCGGGATGAGTTCACAAATATCAACGGAAGGAAAGATGGATCCAAATCCGGCGTTGTACTTGGCTGGGTAGAAGAGGATCTTCAAGTTATTCTCTTCCTCTGGTGAAACCCATTAAACCATTCAGGAGCAGCCCATGTTGAAAGATTAGTGGTGAGAGAACTTTTTGAAAGTAATCTATACGCATCTCCTCCTCCTCCAAGGTCTTACCTGGACATCCAGCCCTAGCCCGACAGAAATCTCGAATCCATTCTTCTTGCTCTTCCTGATTGGCAAAGGAATGTTCTTTGCCAAGAGTCTTTTTCCGGTCCTTTTCGTCGTCGCACCAAGGGATAACCAAACTAACGTGGTGCTTGGGACGCCCTCTTGTCAAGTACAGGGCTCTAAGGAGTGGATTGACAGCAGTACCAGTCCGCCAAGGCAGGGCTGCTGTAGTCACGACACAAATGCGTCGTTTTGGATCCCTCAAGTTTGAATCAGGAATTATCGATGAATCATCATTGGATTCTGAATTCTCGTCCTCTATGGATTCACCATCGTCATTGACTGTCTTGACTGGACCAACCAAAGAGGTTCTCGGTTGTTTTGGGGCGTCAGAGTGAGTCTTGCCATTGCTTTCGGTGTCCAGTGCGCCCGACTTGGTGTTGCCGGCGGATTCCGTGCCTGCATCAACCTCTACTTGGTCGGTGTTGTCATTGTCGGCTGTTTCTTCACTTGTCTCCTGGTGGTCACAAGCTGCTATGGGTTCGTTTTCTGGAATGTCGGCACCGTCATTGTTGACCGCCTTATTGTCATCGCTGCTGTCTTCACTGTCCTCCTCCTCCATGTTATTGCTGATTGGGACGAGGTCGTGATCGTCAGTCTCGTTATTAATAGCAGGATCCAGAGTGCTATCGATTATTGCACTGTCTTCTCTGCTCGATTCCTCTTCCATTTCATTGCTGATTGGGATGAGATCTGGATCACTATCGCTCTCGTCTGCAGTATCAAACGTTCGATCTTTGATATCCTGATCATCATCATCATCATCGCTGGTATCCTTTTTGGCTGCTGTTGGGATCGAGATTTCTGGCAGAATGCGTGTATCATTATTGGATTGGGGCATGGATGACGGCTCTTCTTCGATTTTCTTCTCCTCCAGTTCCCTTTCGATTGCTTTCTTTTCGGCTGAAGGAGTTGCCATGGTCTTCTCAGATTCTTCTGCCAACACCTTCTCACTTTTGGCAACAGCATCCGTGCCACCATCATTACTATTCTTTTCTCCCTTGCCATTAGACTTTTCTATAATATCATCTGACTTGACAACACTGGCGGATGCTGCTGCCTTTTTGGCCTTTTGCTTGGCACGTTTCTTGGCATTCTTCTTTTTCCGTTTTTCAATGTGGGCATTCGATAGTGGTGGGTTCGCAGGAGGATTTCCTTGTTTCTTCGCCATTTCGCCTACCACAGCAGTCTCGTTTGCAATCGCTGTCTCTGGCTCACTCATGATGATTATGGTGAGTTTCGGGAATAGCGAAATCCTTGAATTGGAAAGTAACTTTTGGCAGTCCCAAACAGAACGCTTTTCTCACTAGGAAGGTTTCCTCTTTTGTTGACAATAGATATCTGGGCAGAAATTTGTTTGCGTTGCTTGAAACGAAATTTTCAGCACTTATAGCTATGCCAGGCAGTGACGATGCCACCTACAAGAATGTTGCTACGGTCCAATACAGTAGTTATGACCTGATGAGGATGATGCTGCAATGATGGTGGCACATCGTCGTCGATTGCTTTCAGTCAGATGGATTTTGGGTTCCGTTTCAAAGGAAAATCTTCTTGCGAGGGGGTTCGTGGGCGGTGACGAATCTTTTTAAAAGCCGGTTAAGCTGCTTGATGCTCTATTCCTTAAATGTGAGTCACGGGATTTCAACTCGGGAATGGACCCTCACAAGCGACGAAGATCGAAACGAGTTCCAAGACCCGAAGACCAGCTCACAATGGCGTTGTCCGGTTGACGAATGTAGCCCAGGCAAACCTCACCCTGTTTATTTCAACAAAGCCCTTCACAGTTACTCTTCAGACTATTACTACGTACAGCAATCAGAGAGGAAATAACATGTTACTGAGAACTATTGTAGAAGCTTTGCAGGAGCGGCAACGGCAGCGGCGAGCCAAGAAATCTCGTCGGCGATCTGCCAAAGAACAAAATAATGGTACTACTAACACTACTGCTTCGATGCCTCTGACATACGCTCTGGCTCGTTCTTGGGCTTGGCCGGCCCTCAAGTTCCGATGCGAGACACATCCACATGAAGTTTCAGAATTGAGTGTCGATGCCAGAGGTGAAACCATTCTGCATTGGGCTTGTCTGGGAAAGCCACCCGTCGATACAATACAAGCCATTCTTGCAGTTTGTCCCGAGCTGGCTCGAGTGCGCAACAATGTGGGACATTTGCCACTGCATGGTAAGGGATAATGGTCATCTCTACAACATTGTAGCGATATCTACCTATCAATCTTGACAATCTGGCCCCATCTCACCGTGGTACCTCTATTGTTCCTTTATCCTTCGAATATATAGTTGCCATTAGTTACCGTTCCTCGGTGGATGTGGTCCGTGCACTCTTGCAAGTCTTTCCGGAAAGTGCTGGTTTACCCAATGGGGCCGGATCATATCCTCTTCATTTGCTTTGCGATTATGGATCTTGCGTCAATTCTCTCAGGGCTGTCCTGGAAACACCCGAGGCAGTGGCTACCGTTACCAAGAGAATCCAAGAAACCAGACCATCTGGAGGCATCAGCAACAATAAACACAGACACACAACACCCCTTAACCTTCTCAATGCTCGCATGGACTATCCACAATTTCAACGTGCCATTGTAGCAATGAGAGAAGCAAGGAAACAACAGCAGGTGATAAAAGAAGAATTGCAACAAAGGCGGCAACAGAAGCAACGAGAGATGGCGGCTGGTGCAGCAGTAGCTTCCGATATAGAACAATCTGAAGCAGATCCAGAGGCCAACTCAGGTGGAAACAGCAACGCAGATCCCATGGTGGCGTGGCTTCAACAACACGAGCAAACAATTGCTTCCTTCCAGTCCAATGACTACTGGCAAAAAGCATCCCTATTGGCAGTGGCCGAATACACACAAGAGCCACTCTCGCCAGAAGGGCAAACTTATATTGTTCATGCCTGTGCGGGGATGCCCAGTTGTCCCAAATTCTTGCTCGAGTTTGCCCTTTTGATGCATGCCGATGACTTGTTGGACAAGAAGGACTCGCAAGGGAGGCTTCCACTGCATGTGGCTGCTGCCAATCACGCCAATGCCCTGGGTTTGGATCTACTACACAACAAGGAGAATGAGCGCCATCGAGAAGCATCCCAAAGAACTCTTGCCACTGTGTTGTCTTCTTGTCCTCAGGCGGCCAAGGTTGCAGATTCCAATGGCGATCTGCCGCTAGCACTGGCCTTGCAACTTATTCAACTGAATGGTTCCGACAGTGCCAGCGCATGGTCCAGTGGTTTGCAAGAATTGCTGGATGCCAACCTGGAGGTTTTGGAGGTATTGGATCTCAATGAGCGACTGTTTCCATATGTCTGGGCCAATCGTGTAAAGAATGTGGATAGTCTCTTTCAGTCAATTCGGCAGCACCCCAACTTGTTACAGAATAGAATCCAAGCTGGGAGATAATTTAAATAATCATTTTGTTCTCCTACAAACCTTGATCCCTTTTTGCTACACTTTTTCTTGCCTACCAGAAGGCGATGCAATTTTGTACTATTTTAAATAGTAGCAAGAATCCCTTCACTGAATCTATCTTTCTAAATACCAACTCTGACCAATTATCTACCTAGTCGATTTCATCAATATCTTTCCCGTCAATTTCGAACTGATTATCAAGCTGCATGGTTGTCAGATGGACCTTGAACATCATTTCTTCGATATCGAACTCTCGGCTGTCAAAGAATAGCTCTGACTCGTCCACCATCTTGAACAGTACAGACGGAGGATCTGGTTTGGAGTTGACGTCTACCAGAACTTTGAGTTTGGAATTGGCTTTGCTAAATCGCGGTGCCTTCATTCGTCGGATGAGTTCCTTGGCTGATGTCGCCCGTGCATCCAAGGCTAATAATGAGGGAGAATGAATGAATGAGTATTCCAGGAGCAGGAGTAAACATCTCATCGGCTATCGTACGCACCATTGAACTTTATATCAATCGTTCTGATGTACTTGAACAAGTGGGTAGACACATCTTTGGAGAACTTGATTGGCATGGTAGCGCTCCTTGGCTTTGCTCTCGGTTTGTGTTGGTGGTGGTGAACAACACGATGATCGAACACGATGGTGGGAGCCATGAAATAAGACGGCAGGGCAGTAATTTCGCCCTTTGCCTCTTGTAGAGCGAGTTTTGACATCAAAACAATTGCAAAGTCATCCTCCGGTTTCCGCGACTCGACTGCATGACTCGACTCAACCAGGAAGACAGGTTTAGGAGGGTAGTTGCGAAAAATATAGGGTTAAAGTTATGCTTTACTCTACATTTTTGTATCAAAACTATAATTTACCGCAACTACCTGAACTCCACAGTTGTCTTCCAGATAGACACCGGTTGAAGAAAGACTGTGGTACAGCGGTGGATAAAGAAGGCAAGCGACAAGCGACAGCAGACAACCATCGAGCCAAGCAACCATCCAAGGACTGACAGCAGACAGCAGTGTTCATGAACCTGCATCCAGTACAGTACCACTGGCAAGCCAGATAGCAAGCTTGGGAGCGTTCGAGAGATTCGACTGACTTGTTTCGACGAGCAGAAGTCGCCGTTTCATTTCCTCTGCTGTATACCCCTTCTGGCTTCAGGTTGGATCGTTGGATAACCATTCTTAAATCCCAATTCGATACCTGGATCTTCAGAGGAACGCTTGCACAATCATCCAACCCACAGTGACAGCAGTAAGGTTATATTATCTTGCTGACTTATCCGCAGACAAACCCAGGATACCCCTCTTCAGAGATCCAACTGGCCTTGACACATCCTGATCAGATTCTGTTCTCAAAGGAAAGCTACTACTAGCAAACAGGGAGCCAACCCAAAGTGACAACAATTAGGACAACTACTCTCTCTGACAGGCATTATTATCCGCAGACAAACCCAGGATACCCTTTGCAAAGATCCAACTGGCCTTGACACATCCTGATCAGATTGATCATTGTGTTCTCTGATCTCTCCACTCTACCGAACACACACATCACACAATCAGCCCTTCACCACAAGCAGAGATATCATGTACCAACGAGGCGGAGAATCCGAGGATGAGCGGCTCGCTAGGAGGCTTCAGGAAGAGGAAGAGCGCTCCTTATCCAGCCAAATGTCTCACCAGCAAGAAATGGCTCGTCTCACCCCACAAGAGCAGCAAGATATGATGCTGGCACGGCAGATGCAAGAAATGCATTATGGAGGGAGTGCTACCATGACCGACCCACAAAGACATCGCAGAGCTCAAATGATTTCTGGAGATTACGGTGGAGGGCAGCGGAATATTGGGAGTGATCCATCGGGCACCTACGGAGGAGGTAACAACAACAAACAACCACCTGGACAAGGAGCCAACCGAGAAGATAGGCTTGCTTATGCCAGAAGACTACAGGAAGAAGCGTTTCAAAGAGTACATGAAACGGCTGCAAAGCCAAAAAAAAGCACAGAAGAGTCTGATCTTGAACTAGCAATGAAGATGCAGATTGAAGAATCAGAACCAGCTCCACAAGGCCAAGAGGACGAAGATCTCAAGCTGGCCAGATTCATGGAAGAGAGCGGAGTCAGTATCAGAGACCTAGATGAGGATGGTCTATCGGCAATCAAAGAAAAGGCACTGACATCATCTAGCAGTTTGGACAACTCTAGTAGCTCCGCCAACAGGAATAATCGTGGTGCTGGCGGCGGTGGACTTTTGGGTGGAATGTATGGTGCCCGCAGAGACGATTCCGATGACGAAAGCATCGAGTTTGGTTTCAACAATAGAGGGAATCAAAACATGCCACCGGGAGTTCCCTCCGCCATCCCGCCACCACGGGGAATCGCTTCAAATGGTATCCCAGCAGCGATCCCTCCAGCGTCCGTGCCTTCGAGCATCCCCGCTCCCGGACGAAAACCAGCTCCAAAGACGGCACCCAAGCCAGCACCCAATCCTCCCCCCGGGGTCCCAGCGGCAATTCCACCCGCTTCCACTCCTGCAGCGATTCCAGCTGCAGCGTCCATCCCAGCTGCAGCATCCATCCCGGCGGCAATTCCACCAGCCAACACTTCACGCAAGGCACCGCCAATGGCTTCGCTTGGTCTCCCAAGTGGCAGAGCAGCATCGATAAGACTTAGTTCCAATACTCGAGGACAGGAGTTCCAGAGACAAGTCCCGAAAATATCCAAATCAAGTGGTGCCGGAAGCACAGGCCTCTCCAGATCGGTACCCTCGGCATCCAAGTCGTTTGGTCATCCTCGGTCTGGTGCAAGTGGTACACCATCGAGGAGCTTGCCGGCAAATACACAGCAATCTGCCATGAACTTGATGGCGATGAGGAATGCGGCAAGGAGTAATACCAGGCCGGACCGTTCGGTGTCGCCATCTCGCGGCAAAAAGAATAAGCACAAACGAAATAAGTCATCCGATTTGATGTCTTCGATGCTGGGGGATCTGCCGCCTGGCGTGAACATGGGAAGCGCCAATGATCCAGACGCCTTGTTTATGGACGATCACATGCCTGATATATCCGACACGCAGAATCATCACAAAAAGGAGAAGAAAAAAGGCAAGAAAATTCTATCCAGATTGTTTGGTGGGAAAAGCAGCAGCAATGAGACAAAGAACAACAACACGCAAGTCAGCGGGATTCCCGATGCCATTCCACCAGCAATCCCCGGACCACCCGGTGGAATGGCGGAGGCTGGGCCTTTACCCCACTCTGTTACCGGGAACAGGAATATTGCACAGAATTCTCTCCGTACGAGCTTCTCATCCACACCACAACAAACAGCCCAAACCCACGAGAAGAAAGCTGCCTGTACCGTTTGCGGTGGCCGATCTGGGAAAATGTTGGTCGCCATGGACAGAAGGTTTCATGTCGATTGTTTTAGATGCATGTCCTGCAACGAGGTCATTGATCCTACCAGCGTGTTTGCAGTGTCAGTGGATCCTTTGGGCGAACAACAACCACTGCATAGGAAATGCTATGCAGAGTTTTACGGGGTCCAGTGCGCGGTATGCAAACGAGCAATTCCAGCCAACACCGACGGATCCGTGTCTTTCATCAAACACCCCTTCTTCAGCTCGGAGCAAATGTGCCCACGCCATGCTGACGAACAAGGCAGGCGGCGTTGCACTGGCTGCCATCGTTTCGAACCAGAGGACGAACCGTTTGCCGACTTGAACGATGGAGATCGTTGCGTGTGCTACGCCTGTTGCCGTACTGTCATCATGAATAACACGGACGTCAAGCCCCTCTGGCAAGAGGTCCTTAAATACTTTGAGTTCCAGCTTTGCTTGCCAATCTGGGAGGAAATGAGAGAAATCCCCATTTTGGTTGTCGGGCAAGCTGCATTGAACGAGACGCAATTGAACTCTGCGACGTCAGCTCATGGCGATTCGTCTCAGATCATGACGAGGGGACTTTGCCTTTCAGAGCACGAAGGAAGCATGAGTTTCAGGGTGCCTTCTCAAAGGTTCAACGACAGCACGGCCAGTTTTGAAGCATGCAATCATTCTGGATTCATGAATTTTGATATTGGTCCACTCAGAGGAAACTCCAAGTCGGAGGTGATGGCAATTTTGTGCCTCTCGGGCTTGCCGCGCGATCTGACTGCAAGTGTGTTGGCGCATGAAGCAACTCATGCGTGGATTAAACTTCATCCAGATTTTAAAGTGCGAAGGTCCCTCCCAGCTCAAGTCGAAGAAGGATGTGCACAACTGGTTGCTTACCTATTCTTGAGCGATGGGCTAGAACCGCCACGAAGGCATAGTGGTATGGGTCCGTCTGATGAAAAGTTAAGGCAGTACTTCAAGTTCAGCATTGAAACAGACGACAACGACATCTACGGAGAGGGCTACCGAAGAGCAGCATTGGCTTACTCGACAATTGGTATCGAAGCCCTGTTGAACCATGTCGTTCGCTATCAGTCATTTCCAGATTGTTAGGTTTCCTGTTGCTTTCCAAGCATGACATTGTTAACTTCTCAGAAGGAAAGGTCGTCGCACTGGGCAACGGAAGGCCAACGCTAGTATACTATCTAGTAATGCTTGGAAGTACTAGTGAATCTTTGACTATAGACCCGAAGGAATGATTAGCACCGCTCTAAGTTGCAACAGCGAACTCACAAATCGGCCCTTGTATTTGTTTACTCCCGAATTTCATGTGGATGCTCAATTCTTATTCGGTCTTTGGTTTTTTGCTGTCAGTGGCTTCCGCAGGCTGAACGGGCGCTCGTTTCTTCTTCTTCTTGACGACCATCATCGGGCGCGCCGCCTGGGAGTTGGCTGCGGGTGCTGCTGCCACTGCAACGCCCGCGGATGCTGTCCCAAATCCAATGGTTGTGTTTGCCCCCGTATCATCGCTCTTCTGTTTCTCGTCAGCTGCGTCATTCGTGGCTGCGTATGCGGCCTCTTTCAATTTTGAAGCTTCCTTCACTGCTTTGGAAGCGGTTTCTGCCTCATTCACAACCTCTTGAATATCTTCCATCATGTCGCAAAAATCATCCACATCTGCCTTTTGATCTGCAGTCAGATTTGTGGTGCTGGCTGTCACTAGCTCAGAAGCGCGCTTTCGCAAGGTTCGTAGCTTGGCGCTGGCAACCTGGGGCAATTCCATGTCATCGTCCTCTTCCCCAGTTGTTTTGTAGCCGGCCTCGGTGGCATTGTTGTCGCCTCCTCCTAGATTCTCAATCAAAGTGGCCGGATCCGCATTGCAAATCGTGGCAAGCAAACCTGAAAAGCATTTGCAGCATTCCAAATAGTGAAAAGCAGCCTTGCTGCGAGCCATAGCCTGTTTGGCTTCCAACACTTTTTCTTCAATGTCAGAAAGTTCCGGTTTGTTTGCATGTTCCTCCTCGTCATTGTTTCCCTTCCTATTGATACTCGCCACACTGATATACGTGAGTCCAAGCTGATAGTGGACATCCGCGATCTTTCGATCATACATTGTCAAAAAGGGCGATTTCTTTCGGAGGCGAAGGCAAGATTCATAATCTTGAATGGCACTGTCATCGCGTCCATTCAAGCGCTGCAGATCCCCAGCTCTCAAGAAGATTTGTGCCAAATCCAGTTCCAGCTTTTCCGTCACTGGCATTTTGGAAATGATGTTTCGAGCCGTATCGAGATTCTCCCATGCAATTTCAAAATCCTCGTCAGGGTCACTGACAGTCTTTTCTGCTGCTGGAGCTGCCTCTTCTGCCGCCGCCTCTTCTGGCACTGCCGCTGCTTCTCCATCGACTACAGCAGTGGACACAGCTGTTCCCGCCGTGGTGACATCGTGGTCAGCTTCTTCAATAGAATAGAGCAGAGTGGTACCATAAAGATAATGGTATGGCGCCATGGATTCGTGGAGCGTGAAATCCTCGTCGCTTCCGGCACCCGACAGCTCTCGCAAAAGTTCCATGGTGCTTTTGATGGCTCCTTCACACACCGTCATGGCTTCATCAAACTTCCCTTCATTCAAGTGACGTTTTGCCAAGAGATATTCTGCAGACGTCTCTGAGGACTGATAGGTAGGAAGCGAATCCACAGCTTCTGTTGGATTTTTCGTAGCAGCAGAATCAGCCGGAGCAGCTTCTTGCTTGGTAGCAGCAGGTGACACAGTGGCAGGATCTTCTTTTTTGCCATCATTAGCAGTGGCATTATCTTTGACAGCAACGGTAGCGTCTATTGTTTCATCCACAACACGATTGGAGGGGGACGGCTTGTTCGTCGGGGCCGCCATGGTCAGTTCAAATAAATGTAGGTAGGTAGGCAAAGACGATGATCTCAAACACCAACAAAGTATTATTGGGAAGAGGACAAATGAGGATTGTGAAGGTGGATTGCGGGCAACAAAAGGGGATGGGTGCCGCAGTTTGACGCGCCATAAAGAGACGCGCGCGCCAGTGCCCAGAATTAAAACAATTTTGAGAGACGGTCAACTCTCCCCCAGAGGCTTGTTGCGGAAGATGAAAAGTGTGAAGGCCAGACGTACCGGTTTTCTCAGACGGCGTCAGTCATGGATACAATACAAAACGTGACTGAAAGATTCGAGCCTCATCAGCTGTCTCGATCATCAAGGCCAATAAGATGAACATGGGGGCATTTGGAGATAGATGAAGATGATACCAACACCAAGGACATTCTGTGGCTTGGGGATACTGCTATTGGCGGGAAGGATAGAAGCTGGTAGCAAATCTTCTGCCTCGCCTACCTCCAGCAGGACGCTTCAGTTAGAGATCCAAGTGAACACAACCTCTGGGCCAGCTAGCAGTGGCCCCGTAGACCGGCGATATGTTTCATTTACGATGGATTGGCCTGCCCATCCTGTGGACCCCCGGTATGTCTCCTTTGCATTGGATTGGTGGCCTCCCGACAAGGGATGCGAACCGTACGGATGGGGATCGCATGCCAATGTGCTGGATGTCGATTTGAAGTCACCTCAATTGATCGCATTCACCAAAGCCTTGGGGCCTTCTATTCTGAGGATCGGAGGGACCTTGGAGAAGGTCGTCGAGTATGACATCCCCGAAGAGGGACTCCACTGTATCCCGGAGTCTAAATCGCCATGCCTGAACACGTCTCGATGGCGGGATCTCCATGATTTTGCAGTGAAAACGAATTGCAAGATTGTCTTTGGCCTCTCCTATCCCCAATCGCAAGATGGGCGGTGGAATGCTACCCAAGCGACAGCATTGCTGCGATACTCACAACGTCATAATCTATCTCGAGCAACGACACTGCATGCCGTGGAATTGGGAGAAGAAATGTCCAGGTTTGCCGTAGGGACTCGAGATTTCGATTTATATACTGCAGCCTATCATGAATGCGCCAATCTACTCAAGTCCATATGGGAGGACGAACCAGCGGCCAAGCCACTCTTGGTAGGACCCAGCCCCGGTATGAGATGGCCTCGTCTTGCAACGTGGTTCCCTGCCTTCTTGAATGCTACCACGGGTGCTTTGGAAGCGGCAGTCTATCATTCCTACAATCAAATTGAACCGGGCAAACTCTATTTGAACTTCACCATTCCTTCTGGCAATTTATCCACTCAACAAGGATCTTCTCCCGGAGACACTGGATGGCAAGCTGAGGCTATGAATAACTTTGTTCGTAGTCACAACAACCGTCACAAGGATTCCCCCAACCTCTTTCTTTGGCTGGACGAATTTGGACCTCACAACCATGGCGGCGGCACGGGGAACATATCGGCCAGCTTTGCGAGCTCTTTCGGGTATCTAGATACGCTGGGCTCTCTGGCAAGGTTGAATCATTCTATGCTGGCACGTCAAACGCTGGTTGGAGGGAGGTATGAATTGTTGCGATGCTCTACAGGTCATGCAGGTCGGTGCAGCTTTGAACCCTATCCAGACTACTGGGTGGCTCTGCTGTGGCAGAAACTCATGGGCACCACCGTTTTGGATGCACCGACTGCGAAACGACTGAGTAGTAGAGGAACAAATCATTCCTGGATTGAACCATTCCGTTTCCATGCGCACTGTACGGCAGACCGAGATGGAGCAGTAACTGTGGCCTTTTCCAATACGAGCCCAGAGTGGGTCAGCCTGGATGCTCAAGAGCTGGGACCAACCCGAATCGAATACGTGCTTCAAGGCTACCTGAAGGCCAATGCTCATGGCAGCGGCTTCAATACAAGTGTCGTGAAACTCAATGGATCAGTATTACGAGTTGGCAAGGACTCAACGCATCTCCCACCATTGAAAGGGCGAACAAGCAGCAACCTACCGGACAGCCCCTTCATGATCCCTCCGATCTCCCTTGGATTCCTCGTTTTTGCTCAGGCGATGGCACCTGCTTGCAGCAGCCATGTCGCGCAAGAAGCCTAGTTGAAGTTATGTAGAGCCTTGCTAGCTACGGTAGGTGATGGTCATCACCATTGTTTGACAGACCCAAATCCTTTTACCGTTGTGACTGTTGCGAGCCAGCAGACGAAACAACCCATTGAATTAAAATGGGAAGAACGCTATTCGAAATTTTTTTATGTGGCCACTACCTGGTACCGGCTTTCGTATGTGCGTACCAGATGGCAAAAACTATCGGTAGGGCACAATAGTATATCCAGGCTTAGCTTCGTTTTTCCGCACTATATGGAACCAAACCGGTCGGTACAGTATTTAACAGTCAGTTGGAGTCCTCTGTTCAAGGGCGAGCTCTCGCCCTCAATTTCGCTCCTCATCCTAAGGCAGTTGTTGCCTTGGGCAGGCTGTGGCACAAAGTGAAGTGGGAACCTATGTGAAGGACGCCCATTTTCGTAGGCCCATTGCATGATTTGAGGGGAAGTAGAATCTGTAAAGATGAGGTCCCACCATTCCCAAGATTGTTCCTTTCGAGAATAGAGCCACTGAAGGATGTGCAGTTGTCCATCAAAGAGAGCCTGCCTTATGCAATATTTCCGATCGCAATCACATCCGTTTTCGTAGGCATATTGTAGTGCCTCGACATGCCCAGTTTCGGCAGCCTTCAAACATGTCAATGAGTCCCAGGTACAGCCATTCTCGTGCGCATACTGCAGGACGTCCACATGCCCCTTCTTGGCAGCCTTGGCACAAGTACTTGTATCCCAAGGACAACCGTGTTCGTGAGCAAACTGCAGGGCATTTAGTTGTCCTGCCTTAGCAGCAGCGTGGCAAGTTCCTTCATCCCATGGACAACCGTGTTCATGGGCATACTGTAGGACGTACACACGCCCATGTTTAGCAGCCTCGGCCAATCCCGCAACCGCACGGTTGCCACCAAAGGCAAAAGGGCAAATTCGGCCAGGGCTGGTTTATTACTGCTACTGTTGCACCTAACTAGCCACCGGTAGCTATCCTCCATAAATACCTGTTGGCTCCTGGATGTTACCCTATACTAAGGGGGTTTAGAGTAGAGAGGTTATCAACGTACTGAAGTCGGCCAGGGCCAGGCTTAGTAGGCAAAGAAGAGTGAGTCAAAACTCAGGAGGACTAGTGTTCTCGGGGAGGCCTACGACACCACGCAATACTTCTAGTAATGCAACGAAAACAGTTGAAGTCTAAAATTATCAAAAAGCCATACACCAGTCGGCAATTGATCCAGCTGCTAGAGCGTTAGAGTTCGTCGGCAATGCCATCCTGCAGGATTTCCTCAGCCATTGTTTCCTGAACGACTTCCTTAGCCTCAGCCATGACATCCTGAACGACTTCCTCGGCCGCGGCCATAACCTCCTCCACGACGGAAGGATCTGGCTCCGCAGGGACTTCCTCCTCCATGATGCCGGGATCTGGCTCCATCGCTGGAACTTCCTCTTCCAGTTCGGATGGTAGCCCTGGTGGAGGTATCCAGGAGGAGTACAAAAGACCGACAAAGACGCCGAAGAGTATCACGTACATATCCACTTTCAACTGCTGGAAGATTTCGTAGGCACTAATCGCAGTGGGGAATAATCCTGACAGGGTGTTCTTGACTGCGTTCTTGATCATGGTCAAGACATCTGTCATTTCTCCTTTGGCATTGCGCACATCTTCTTCAATCGAATTCGGAAGTTTCGATCCCAAGATGACCCTCGCAATCAATTGTCGTATGGTGAGAGCCGACAGGCACATGACGGGAGGATATCCAAAGAGCCGCGCTGGCATGGCGAGCATCTGCAATGGCATCTCCCACAAGACGTAGAGGATCGTTCGATGAATTTTCACGGCACCACGACCCAGCTGATTGAATAAACCAGGTCCTCTGGTAAGCTCGTCCAGATCCACTTGAAAGAGAGGATCAATGTTGGGAATGTACTCAGTGTCCTCTTCGTCTAGCGTCCCAAATTCGTCCTCTGCCAAATCACGGGTGTAGGCATCATCCCCATCACTGCCAAGATCCTTACTGGGACCACTGGAAGTAGATGACCACGGATTCAATTTCTGCAAATTGAAACTTTGAGGTGCAAATTCTCGGTTCACCAAAGTGTAGTCAGGATTGGCATGCTGGAGTCCCACATCCAAGCCAGCCAAAAATAACAAGAAGGATGTGAAAATGTACATGACAATGGGAAGCAAAGGCTGTTTGAGGCGCTTCTTTAGACGGGCTTGTACGGCAGGCGACTCTAAAACCTTTGCTTCTTCCTCGGCAGCCTTGGCAGCTTCATCCTTTTTCTTTTGGAGCATTTTTTCGCGACGCATTTTGGCCACTCCTTTGTACTTCTTTTTGGGCTCGTTTGTGGCAGATGCTGGCTCCTCAGCAGCAGGTGTTGTGGTTGTCGTCTCGTCCTTGGCAGGCTCTTCTGCTTTGGCTTCGGTTGTGGTGGGATTTGTAGTTTCTGCTGATTCCGCAGCTTTCGCTTCCTCCTTGGCTGGCTCTTCTGCCGTGGCTGCCTCAGCAGAGGGCTTTTCCTCTTCTACTACCGTGGGCGCCTTGTCCTCAGCAGGCTTTTCCTCTGTTTTCGTTTCCGTGGCAGTTTCTCCTTCTTCCGTCTTCTCCGCAACCGATTCTTCCGTCTTGGCTTTGCCCTTTTTGAAGCGACGACGTCGAGCTGCTTGCATCCTAGCCGAACTACTAGCACTGGTCTTGGTGGTCTCCTCGGCGTCCCCTTCCTCGGTCTGAAGACCCGACACCTTGCTCATTCGGTCCTTTGACTTTTCCATGATGCGCTTTCGACGGGCTTCCGCCTCGGCTCGTTTCGACGCCTCGTAGTCTTCCTCCTCTGTCATGGTGCTTCCTTTGGCTAGCTAGCTATAGAGCTAGTACTGTAGAGTCAAGCTACTATTAGCTACTAGTAGAGATACGCCACAATCTCAGACTTGTGATCGACGGCCACCAACTTCGGCGGCCATACTATTATAGTACTAGCTAGTACATCATTACCACCGTCAATCGTCGCTTTGTTGGGCTCTGCGCTGCGCGACGTTTCCGTCAGAAGCCCTCCACAAATTCAATCCGGAGTGGTTGGATGCAATCCCGCCCGTCAAACCTTCTCACTTCCAGCATTTATTTTCCCAACCGAAACGACCGAGCTGGAGGCAAAAGCACCATGGCATGCCAACAAGAGCGCTTCCTTTGAATAATAGAAGATGATACCGTCAGAACCTCTACTCTGGTGCGGTTGCTTGGCATTGGCCATCTTATCTGATACTCTATCACCCTTTTCAGAGGCCACACTACCCTGCTTGCTATTGCTGAGTGCCACCACCTGTCGTGGGTGTTTTCTATTGGCTTCTTGGAGCCCCACCAGCAAGAATAACCAAGGGAGAATAATATGGAGGATATCCAAGGAATGTGTAATTCCAGGGATAGATGATCCGGGGGTATTCATGAGTCTTTTGCTCATGCCACTCTTGTGTATCGCCATAGGCAAGGCAATACCCAAAAACTGGACTGATCAGGAACCAGGTTTGGCGGATATTTGGTTCTTTTATGCCCTCTTTATCAGCCTATCCAGTTATGTGGCCTGGGAAGACTCTCTCTTTGGGAAAAGCACAGCAAGCAAAATTGGATTTGCAACTGTTTTGGGGATTGTGGCCTTAAAATTGTCATTCGTGGCTCATGCTGCTGGACATGCCACTGCCATATTGGTACTGGTAGTGTCCTGGAATGCATTGTATCATTCCATGCAAGACTTTCTACCAAAATCATTCCATGGAGTTTTTACACAAGGAGAGTGGATGGTTGTCACCAGTTTGGCAGCTATTGCGGTCACACATTTTCTGCTGTTGACACATCTCATTATTCAACCCCATCAATCCTCCAATAATAAAATTGGCAAAACAACGCACACAATTGGCCATGCTACAGTGGCCATGTCAGGACTCATTTCGGCAGCTATCACATGTCCCATTATGACAATCTTCAATCAATACACACTGCAGCCTAGAATCTCAGGCCTCAGTGCCAAGGAAAACAACAATCACCATGAGCTCCTCTACCTGCTTCTACAGCTACCCATTTGGTTTTGCATGCCGTTGGCGGGCGTAGAAGCACTGGTATCAAAAACCACTGCAGAACAAAACTGGGGCAGCACCGACCTTATTCATGGACAGATCACAACAATGCTATCGAAGGTGTATATTCCCACTGCTTACATTCCCCAATGCATGCTCTGGCTGGTCCAATTTCTTCGAGAAACAGAAGAATCTTCCTGCTTGCCATCCTCCACCATGTCCTTGTTGCCACAAATCCCACGCTATGGCTGGCTCCTCTATTGGGTAGTCGTCTTGGCCTTGTCCATTCCCTTTGCTCCCGAACCCAACAACGACAAACAAAACTCCCATTCCGTGGTACTGGCACGTAAATGGTTTCATGGCATTGCCATACTGCTCTTTGGTCCCGTGACCATTGCTGCACCCCAACTCATGTCGCTGTCCTATGCCATTGCATTGGCCGTTTTGATGCTGTTGGAAAGTGCTCGTGGCACCTTTCCCATAATTGAACAATTCCATCAACGCTACCTGGATCCATCCAAAGATTCCCCCGATGCTCTGGTCATTAGCCACATGGCCTTGATTCTGGGATGTGCCTTGCCATTGTGGATATTGGAAGTGTTGCTGTCGTCGGACAATGATGATGATCATCATGGCAAGATGACGAGTTTACCTGCCGACACTATTCTGCTTTTGCAGCTTTGGGGTATTTTGAGTTTGGGAATTGGGGATTCCATGGGAGCCATTGTGGGCGTGTTGAAGGGACGCACTCGGTGGTCGCAGCACAATTCCCGAACCATTGAGGGGAGTTTAGCCATGTGGATAAGTCTCATGGTTTCCTGTGCCTGGGTGCATTGGTTCTGTGGTGTTCAGAGGAGCAACACGGTTTCGTTTTTGGGGCAATCTACTGTGACGGTGACCGTGGTGACGCTGCTGGAAGCCCACACCTCCCAAATTGACAATCTGGTCTTGCCGTTGGTTGGGGCGGCTGTTTTGCTCATCATCCTGCAACCACATTGAAAGCCAAGGGGTGAACGCTTACAGATGAGAGGCATGGAATATAAAGACTGGATTGAAGTCATGCTGGCAGTTGACGCTATCGTTTACCTGACAGGTTCACGATGGATTGGTGAGGCAATCATCTGGACAACCAAGTCCAAAGCACAGCAAAGGAAAGAGACAAGCGTGCGACAAGACCATGACGGGAAGCGAGAACACACACAAGCAGGGCTCTGCGTCGAAGAATTGCCCATGCGACAAAAACTCAACAAAGCTGCCGCCACGGGCACACAAGTGATCGCGCGCACCATGACGACCCTACCGACCGACTGCTTATGGTTGGAAGACTGCCATTCTCGACACCAGCATTCCGCTTACTCCACTTTCAGCATGGAAAATGCTGCGGGCCAAGTTTGGAATCGATCAAGATAACAGTGGGTTGACGTCCGTTCACCGAGATGACTTCAGCATTTTGATTCAAACCGTCTCAGTAGCCTGGACACGTGTCTCATTCACACAGGCAAGTCCTAACCTTTTTGACATTGTGATTGCAGAGGGAGCTGGCATTCTTGTTTGCACAAAGGAAGAGCACAAGATCCGGATTGAATTGAACTGCAGCAGTGCTTTCACATTTTTCACCGCCGGCTCTAAGATATAAACCGCCGTTGCTAGCTAGATGGCTGGACATATATGTTCTTACGTATTCAGAGCAATGCCCTGTTCTAGCTGGGTTTACTGATACCAGGTACTTCTTTCCATTGCTGTCAGCAAATGGAACTAGCCAGCCCTGATTCCTGAACGTACAAAGATAGTCTGAGCCCGTTCGTTGAATTGGATGGCTCCGTCTGTTTCCATTTGTCGAAGACAAGTCACCACATCACCATGGTTGACTGTAGTGTTAGTGATTTCAGACATTTGCCTCACAACATCCCTCACTGCCATGCGCTTTCCGCGGCGCTGAATTATAACAGAAGCATGGGCGCCGAAGGTGTGAGCAAACATCCGCGACAAGCCATCTGTCAGACACCATTCGATTCAATATTCTTACCTCGTTCAAAAGCTCCTTGATGCCAAGCGTCAGCTGCTCTTCCATTTCTCTGTCTACAGTCGACCGACCGGTTGCTAGCATATCCATATCAATGCGCCCAGTTCTTGGATCCGTCGCTGCAGCTTGAGTTGCCACCTTCATGAGACGAACCGCCTCCATTGCATCCGCTCGAGTCACCTCGTAGCTATATCGCATCTTTGCCAAGGCCTCGCTCAATCGAATCAAAGACTCCAACTGACGCGGGGTCGCTGAAATGGTGCGTGTTCCATTGCTTGCAACGTTGCCTCCCATAGGATTGCGCATTTCAAGGTAACTGGAGATGAGTTGTTCCGCAGCTTCGTCAGTGATCTCAGGGTGAACGTAGAGTCGAGCATACTCAATATAGTCCCGAAGTAGATCCTGGTCCATGGGAGGCTCCGTCACATTGGGAGTCTCATAGTAAAGACCGACCAAGTGCTGTGCCAACCTTCGATCATGGTCTACATTGGGGCTGTCCAAGATGAGATAGATCAAATCAAATCGGGAGAGAAGGGTTGGCGGAAGCTGAATATTGTCGACAACACTTCGCGCAGGATTGTATCTGGATTCGGTGGGATTTGCGGAGGCAAGAACTGATGTTCGGGAGTTGAGTGTAGCAATGATGCCAGCTTTTGCGATTGAAACGGTTTGCTGTTCCATGGCTTCGTGTAGCACACTGCGGCTGGCATCACTCATCTTGTCAAATTCATCAATGCTGTGAAAGAATCCAAGTAAACAGAGTGAGGGGAAGTCACTAGTCAAATCCACTGGATGAGTATCAAGACAAGACCTACCAACAGATCCCTTGATCACTGAGAACCAAAGCTCCACTTTCCAAGACAAGATCTCTTGTTTCTGGATCTCTCACCACTGAAGCCGTCAGCCCGACGGCGGAGGACCCCTTACCCGACGTGTACACTCCTCGAGCGCTGAGTTTGTTGACATAGCTGAGAAGCTGTGATTTGGAAGTACCCGGGTCCCCACAGAGTAAGATATTGATGTCCCCTCTTTTGTGAAGTTTCTCTTCGTCCAAATCAAGATCTTCCTCATCTTCATCCTGCTCCTCGTCCTCATCTTCCATGAGGGAGTCATCATCCCGGTTGCCGGCACGGCGTTTGTTTTCCTTCTCGTCCCGCTTACGACATTGGTCAGCATAGCCCCTCTTCACTCTGACGTGATTGCCACCAAACAGCATGCAGAGTACGCCCTTTTTGACATTGTCTAGCTCCCAGATGGAAGGCGCCAAGGAAGATGTCAACATGTCATAGATGTCAGGTCGCTGAGAGAGAGTCTTTAGCTGATCAATTCGCTCCTGAGTAAAACGAGACGTCATACCCGCTCCTTCTCTTCCAACCCGCTCCTTGTCTCGATTGCGTGCCGACTCCAAGCCCGTGATACGCTTGAAATGAATGACATCGAGGTAGGTCTTGTAGATAGACTTCACCTTGGAAATCTTGGGGTTGACCCTAACCGGTTGAGCCCTAAGAACACCCGTGACTTCCACCTTGTCTCCCGGTTTGACGCAATCAACCAAATCATCATAACAAAACGTCATGACCGAGGCGGGTGTCTGTCCTGCCGGAACCTCATCGGGTGTTTCTTGCAAGCGCACCAACTGCTTGTTGGCAAAAATGGATCGATTGTGGACGAGCTGGTAAGAGTTGTTGATGTTGCACCTTGGACATTTGCTGTTGGGTTCCTTGATGCGTCCTCTATCAATGGTGACTTGGACATCGTTTCCACAAATGGCACAAGTGAAATGGGCAACCTTGAGATCAGGAATAATGGGAGAGATGCGAACAATCATTCCCTTGATACTGAGCAGATTGTCCATTGCGACAGGGTCTAGGCACCGAATATTGGAGACGGTGCGTAGGTTGAAGGGTCGCACTTGGACATTTGGAATGTGTGGAGCTTCATCCAGATCGTTTTCAGTGGCCATGATACCTGCAAGTGTTTCGAGTTCCTTGCGTACAACCAGATCCATGAGCGGAACAATCTCCATTGGATACTCAATAAGCTGTTGATAAAAGCGTTGGCAGTCTTCGCTATGATAGTAAATATGCATAGTATCAATATCGAGACTGCTGGTTGTAGGCGAAACTGTGTTGTCCTGCTCCTGATCATGGTCAAAAATGACTCCTCGCGTCAAGAGAGTCCGTAGACGTTCCATGTACAGAGCAGGCTCATTGTTGTTGTTGTCGTCGTCCTCATCTTCATCCGTATCCGAGCCAGAGCCAACATTGTTTGCTCGACGAGCCCTAGCCAAGGACTTGAAGTTACGCAAGAAATGCCGAAAGACAGCGGCAGCAGTGGGAATATTAATTGTAGTTCCCCTCACAACTGGAAGCTCTTCTTCGCCAGCGGCCAGAAAGAGGTTGTCTTCTTCCTGAGCCTCTTCATCCTCTTCCTGTTGACCATTTTCTTCGTTATTGTGCCCAGCTCCTGGTGGAGTTGGATTTTCCGCTTCATCGTCAGATGATAACAGGATGTCATCGTCATTGTCGCCATCATTCTGATTCCGACTATTAGCATTGGCTGTTTCTTCTTCGTCTTCTTCTTCCAGCCCCAATGGTGTCAGTGGCGATCCTTCGCCAGCTCCCCTTTTGCGAGCAGCAGGAGTGGCAGGAACAATTTCATAGGGCGTCCCAGGGACAGCAGCTCCATCTTCCGAAGCTGGAGTTCTGGGTGTGCTGCCACTTCCGGAAGGACTGCGACGAGCGCCTGCTACCCGTCGTCGAGGGGTAGCTTCGACCATTGCATCCTCCATACCTCTGGGTGGTCCTTCCTCGTCGCTACTCTCCATCGTCAGTAATCGCTACGCTCTGTTTCTCTTGACCAAAGTTTGTGATGAAAGCGGAGTTACTAAGAATACATGTGATTGTAGGAGCTATTATAGGTCTATTTGGATTTGTTGACAACGAGGTGAGATGTTTCGGTTCCGTTCGTTCCGTCATTGGTTGGATGCTGTTTAACCGTTTTTTTGCGGTAGAAGCCAGCAGACCTGAAAACTGAAAACACGAGAGTACCAGTACTAGTACGGAATGATCAATCCACCTAGAGCTAGACGCTGACGCTCACTGTCACTTCCACCAGTATTAGCTAGCACCGGTATAATCCCTGCGTCTGCTACATCTGCTACATGTAGTAGTATATCCACAATACACTGCTATGATTTCCTCATCATGTCAACGGCCCAATTTAGGTAGGCGCGCAATTGCATAGCTGCAGCTCCACTCATATCCCTTGGAACTCCTATTCTGTCCCTCAAATAGGTCAAACAGGTATCTAGCTGCTGCGTGGGCGGGGTCCAGGTAACCTCCCCGTTTTCGTAGTTCCAATAATACGTCAAGGAGGGATCATTTTCGTCGGGATAGGCTTCCCAATTCTCACGCAGTGCATCATTTCCCTGCTTGCCTGCCAAATCTGCTTGTGCCGTTGCTTCTGCCACGGAGCTGCCCGCGACTAGCGCATGGGTTACATGTCGCAGGCACACATCGACCCCTTGCACGTACTCTTCATTGGGTTCGGCGTAGGGATCTGCCAGTTCGGCGTGAAAGGCAGGCCTTCCGGGCTCTCCCGCCCCGCGGCACGCAAATTGGGTAATGTTGACGTGGTTCTTCACCAGCTTGTAGGCGGCTTCGATGGCTGGGTTATTGTCATCGATTGTTGTTGATGAAGATTGGATTTGAAACTGTTCCAGGGAATCTTGTGGCAATGGAAGATGCCATGCGCCATCCACCAATCCGGATATTCTTGAGGCAATCCTTTTGGCCTCTGGTATCATGTACCCGGGTCCATTCTGGGATGGAATCACCGTCATGTGTGTGTAATAGTCGGATCGCGATGCCGTGTACGCTGGAAGCGCTTCCCAAGCCGTCAGCCAACGCTGAAAATGCGGAAGAGTGCAGCTGCGAATGTCCCATCCTTTCCAGTACAATACCGACGGGATGATCCGTTCCATGTCGGCAATGTACTGAATATCCACCAACGATGGGGTGTCTCCTCCCAAGAACCATGGTCTGTCTGTGACACTTAATTCTTGGTCCACTTTGGCTAGAGTATGGAGCATGGTTTTGTTTGCCTTTTGGAGTGCTTCTCCTGAGACAGGATAGAACACTAGTGAGAACCAATCTTGTTGCAGAGCTTGTTCTAGAGAGAGCAAGGATTGATATCTCTGATGCTGCAGCTGATTGTTGGTTTCATCATCATCTGGTATCATCATGGGAGGATTGGGAAAGGTTTGATCCAGCAGTTTCATAATATCCAGACTTTCGACATGAAGTTCTCCATCGAGTTCCAGGGCTGGAAGCTTTCCTCCATCGACTTTTCGGGTGTACCATGCCGGTTTGTCTCCATAGGCATTCATGGGCACCTTTTGTACCCGGTAGGGTATCTGTTTGAGTTCCAGGAGCAGCCATACCTTTTGGCAGTAGGGACACCAGCCTGTCACATAAAACCAAATAAAAATAAAAATCAGAGAGCAGTAGAATGAGAGAGATCTATGGAAGAGTTGGATCCAGTCTACATTGACTGTACGTTACGTACCCGCATGATCTCTATACAGAGTGACTCTTACATTTGTTTCGTCTTTTTCTTGAAACAATCGAAGGAGCGCATCTGTATGAGGTGGTCCCTGACCGCGTTGCCGCAATGTTTCTTCTGTTTGCAGACGGGATCCTGTGGGTGTGCCATGGACAAGTTTCTGGAGTTCTTGCCAGGAAGGAGCATTATCGGATAGGATCAAAACGTTGGATGACGATAGCTGTTGACTATTATTGTCTGCTGCAGATGCTGACAATGAGACGACATGGGCAGTGTTTCTCATAAGTGGTGTGTGTAAAGATGATGGTCGTACCGGTACTCCAAAATTCTTTGGAAGAATAGAAATTTGAAAGGCCGTGGTTGTTGGAAGGAAATGATAGAAGAGCGCAAGGATCAGCTTCAGCCAGCACCATTGCTTTCGTTGCCGTTGTAAGGATACTACTTTATCAAGTCTCATCGTCCATGCCAACCCAATAGTATCATCTTCGAACAGCTCGCGATCGTTAGACAAAACTCTGAGGGAAGAAAGATATCAGTCACGGATGTCTCTGATTTTACGGGACTGCACCTGCGGCCACTCATTTTTCAGAACATCCACAACATGCATGCCCACAACACACAACATAAGTTCTCACAACATTAGCGATCGATACCATGGGCGGCAAACGACGGCGCAACACTGCCAACACCGGCGACAAGGCCCTGTACAAGAAGGCTGCCGAAGCTCGAAGTGCGTCTTCCACCAGTAACAAAAAGGATGGCGCCGATGATGCTATGTACAATGCGGTGGATCAATTCCACAATGACCGCGACCAAGACTTTATCCAATTGCGAAATAATAATGGCGCTGTACCCGAGAGCGATGTGGATAGCGATGAGGACCAAGAAGCCGTCATGGATTTGGGTGTGGGAGGAAGCAGCAGTGACGAAGATGAAGACGATGATAGTGACAGTGATGCAAGCAGTCGAAACCAAAAAGCTGCGAAACGACAACCTGCCGAAGATAGTGCTTCTTCTTCGTCAGATGATGATGATGACGAAGAAATAGAAGATGTGCGAGATTGGGGACGAAAGAAATCAGCATACTATCATGGCGATACTGCCGACTTGGAGCTGGGCCAGGACGAAGAAGACGCCTTTCTAGAGGAAGAAGCTGCCAAAGAAGTACGAGCTGCCAGGTTGGAAGAAATGCAAGAAGAGGATTTCATGTTGTCCGATGATGATAATAATAATAATCAAGAAGAAGATGAAGCCAAGAAAACCACAAAAGCCAAAACTTCCAGTAAACTATCGTCCATCCGAGACATTACCAAACTCAGTGCCAAGGACAAGAAAAAGCTTATCGAAAAACAACATCCCGGTCTCTTGCAGATTCTTTCACATTTTTCAACGTCGGTTCAAGACCTCCAATCGCGAACCAGCTTGGCTACCAAAGCACTCTTTGACGCTGACGATGATGGCACTGCACAGGTAGGTACTGACTGTACTGCACTCTTTGAATCTATTTGTTTGTTCGTTTTGTTTGTTTGTGCATCCATGATAGACTGGAACAGAGACACAAAATGTGTCACATGATGTTCTGGTAGAAAAGTGATGCTAAACGAAATTCTGGAGTCGTTTTTAATCCTACGAGGAGGACTACTTATTCCATGTCCTGTTCCTCGCTTGGTTGACTGCCAACATCTATCGATCTCTTCTCAACTCTTCTCGGTTCTCTTGTCATTATTATTACAACACAACAACAACAATACACACCAAAAGGCTATTGGATGCACCCAAATGGGGAAAAAGTACATCCTCACCAAAGCACTCTTGCAAGCATCCACTGCGTTGAATCTGGCCATTTTCCTTCTTCTCAAATCGGAAGAAGCATCCGACGACAATTTACAGGGGACTTCGTCGTCGTTGACACAGTTTCATCCCGTCATGAAGCGTTTGCAGGAATGGAATGTATTGCAGCAAAAACTAAAAGGAAACGTGGAGGATTCTGTAGAAGGGTTGGACGAGCAATTGGATAATCTCATCAAGGCGGCCAAGTTGATGGAAACCATGGGAGAAGAAGACGACGACGACGAGGAGGAAGCGGCAGACGCTGATGAAAAAGACGACAATGAAGAAATGGAACCTGCCAAGACTGGAGACAACAATGACAAAATGGCGGCAGCGAGTGCATCATCGTCCGATGACGACGATGACGAGTCATCTGTGGATGAACAGGCCGTGGCACGGAAAGACTTGCACAATGCCAGATTTGGATTGCGGCCCAATGAGCTTGGACAGGATCAAAAGAAAAACGCTAGCAACCGACGGCGCAGAGCGGCTCCATCCGACTTGGGCGACGAAGACGACGAGAAGAAGGATGCTTCGAGGTATCTGGCATCGGCCATTAATACCATCGAACAGCGCGCCGCTACGAAAAAGAAAAAGGCTCGAAAGATGGCTTCCTCTGAGGAACTCGTTCATCACCGAGAAGCCGACGATGATCTTCGTCGTGGCTTGCAAATGATGGAAGAAGAAATGGGCAAGGACTCGAACGAGGTGGGTGACTTGAAGGATGACAACGACGACATTCAAAAGGGTAATGACGACGACGAGGACGGTGGATTCTACGCTAAAATGACAAAAAAGAGCAAAGCCAAGAAGGAGCACAAGAAGAACCTCTACGCCGTGGCTCCCAAGTTTCCACGGATGGAAGCTGAGATTGAAGGTATGTCAATGTTGTTTGAGCAATGCAGGCGTAGCTGTGCTGCGTACTTCTGTAGGTTTTTGTTCATCTCATCTCACCCTAAATTCTACTCTTCCTTCTTAGGCGAACGCCCAATTAGCCGCATGATCATGAAGAACAGAGGTTTGGTGGCTCACAAGAACAAGCTGAACCGCAATCCACGCGTCAAGAAACGCGAGCAATACCGCAAGGCCCTCATTCGGCGCAAGGGTACTGTGCGTGAAGTGCGGACCGATGAAGGGCACAAATATGGTGGTGAAGGGACAGGAATCAAGAGTCGCGTTAGTCGTAGTCGAAAGCTGGGCACAACCTAATCTAGCTAGCGGCGTCATTGGTGGATTGCTTTGTCTTTCTCTTCTTGTCTAGCTAGCTTGCGTCATTGTAGTTTACGTTCTGTAGAATCCTTCTCTTTTGAAAATGAAAATAAAACTATGTAGTTTTCTATTACCAATTAATACAACGGAGGCACTGGAGGGCAAGATGATGGAATCGAATCATTCGGAACACAGCATGAAAACCAAACTCATTGATCAATCTACATGTAGCTCGCCAATGACTTCTGAAAAAAGAGGATCGGGATGCGTACCCAATTCTCATTCATGATTTCTTTCTTGGTCGTCATGACTACCGTAGCTAGCTCTTTGTCACGGAAACTTTGGAGCCCACCTGGACACCGGCCAACAAGGATCGGTTGGAACTCCCCAGCGAACTCATCGAGTCTCCCAAGTTCTTTTGATGATGGGATGATCCACCGAGAGATTGTTGCGAACCCTGTCGACCTCCCAGTTTGCGCTGCGACCCTCCCAGTAGTTTCCGCTGTGATGATCCATTGCCACAGACGGTAATTCCGACCGCCCCGCTGCCAGAAGCAATCAAAAGGGTGGGATTGGAGAGTCCACGAAAGAATCCAGGGCGACCGGCTTTCAACGACCGAGAAGAATCTTGTTGTCGTTGTTTCGAAGAACTCAAGGCACTGGAGCTTCGTGCCTTGTCGAGCTGATCGCGACGGTTGGTGGTGGGGGGGGTTGGCATCTTGTTGCTGTTGTTGTTCTTATCACTGGAATAACATAAATGACACGTTGGTCGTTGTTCCTTTTTTGTGTTTGACGGAGAAAGTGCGAGTAACATTGTGGCATTGGTTATTTCCACGGCCTGAACGGTCTGTCCGCTTGCCCGAGTGGAGGAACAAAAGATCCAAAAGGAAGCCAGCCAGACTAAAAATACCGCTGCCGCCACAGGGATCCGCCATCGGCATCATCGCTATCCACCAACATCCTCCATCGATCTGCTGACACTTTGGATATTGAAGCTCTCCATGCCTACCGGTAGCCTGGCTAGAACCCTCATATTGTACGGCACCGAGATAGACTGATACGATTAGCTTATCGGCTATGCGAGACACCAGTGCAGTTAGAAGAATGAAGAGGTAGCCTCTTCTATCGATGTCGGATACCCAGGCTTTGACCAGAATAGGTATCTTCCTGATTGCACACCAGAAAAATGAGGACAACAACATTATCATCCTTATTGGTCTGTTACCTTGGCATTGGCCATGTCTGGGCTGATAATACTCAACATGGACCACCTGATGACATTTGGATGCCAAACCCTTCCTCGCAACATCTCCAGGCTTCCAGCAACGATGGCAGCGAGGGACCTGCTACCCGTAGCAACGAATGGCTCGCATCTCCTGGTAATATTCCCACACCACCAAAGACTCCTTGGTTCAAATATATCAAAAAGAAGGGAAGAGTCACTGTCGATGTCAACAACGAAAACAATATACCGCCGCCAGAGCCTGTTGTTTCGGAAGCTCCAAATAATGGCACAGATGTTGTGGAGCTCACCCCAAACAATGCCAACAACAACAATCTCTCGCGCTCTCTCTCACGGCAGATCCATTTGCTATGATTCGTCTGCTACAATTCCTGCTCCTGGCATCCAGAGCCGTCATGGTGGCCTTTCTGGGGACTCTACGACTGCTCGGACCCATGGTATTTGCCCGTCGTGTCTTGGCACAAGGTGGTGAACTGGTGTCGGACTACATGATGGGACGCTATATGCGCACTACCTTTGATCATTGGGAACGCAAATATTGGAAGGAATATCAAGGTCCCGCTGCCACGCGATCTTGTGGCAGATGTTTCATTCATGCGGCCATTTTAATGTTGCTGGGGAAACTCATGGAATGGATGATTCGACCCGACAATCCACCCTGTCTTATTCCACAAACCGGGGCATGTCATTGGTGGTGTGGTCTATTGTGGGTGGTTTCCGTTGTCGGGACGGGTAACTTTTTTGCCGCCCTGGTGAGTACCGGTAGTGCGACAATGAATTATTAATTGGAGACTGACTCCACAACCCACCATTTGGATCTAACTGACAACTGACTGACATTGCTGCACTATCTTTTATTGCCTTATTATAGATATCCACTCGAGGACCCGTCAAGATTAAAATGACCAAAAGTGCCATGCCCAACAATCTGCACCATCAGAAACGACGGCGGAGACTCTTTCTCACACGTCCACTACAAGTATTAAAAGGGTTGAGAGACCCCGATCATTGGCTCACATCCATTGCCACCTTGAGACGGAACAATGCCAATCTACGAGAACCATTCACACCCGAACCTCTACTCTTCCCATCCACATGGCCACCCTTTAGTATGCTTCGAAATTTTGCCATTGCCAAGGCCATGGCATCGTCGTCGCAAGCCAACAGCATGCACGTGATTATGCGACAATTCCTCATTATGCATGCCCTACTGGATGAATGGCACCGAGTTTTGATGGACGAACGACGTGTGGGACTGGGATTGTGTATCATTGCCACTGGATTCATTGCCATGTGCTTTCTCTTCGTGACAGTGGCCCTTACCGACAATGTGTCTGCCGTATTGTTGGTCCCCTATCTCTTGGCAACTTTTGGCTCGGGATGGATGAACTTGTTTTGCTTTTGGGAGAGACGAAGGAATCATGAACGCGATCTTGTGGTGATGCGACATGGACGACAAGAACGAAGATATTCCATCAAATGGTAAAAGCTGCTAGCTATAGCAATACATGTAGAGCTAACTTGTAACGTAGCTAGATTCATGTCACGGCTAAAGAGAGAGGACGGAGGTAGACGACAAGGAACTTCAATCGAGCAGGACTCTTGCCCTCTCAATTGCTTATGTCTCCGTGCAAAGTCAAGCCCCTTGGCCCCTGTGTTGGTCCCCAATTTGTCACTACAGATCCCACTGACCTGAGTCAAGTCCCAATTCCACCACTTCTTTGCTTCGGTTAGCTAGCTAGCTACTACGCACAGCTAGGTAGCACCTCCAAACACTTTTTGTTTGGTTTTAACCCATAGCATGACGCACAGTGGTCCGTTGCCATTTTGCAACCAACGGCAGAACGCGGCACAACGGCTCGACTGAAGTTTCAGCTTTTCACAACAACCTCAAAACAATGATCACAAAGAGCAATGACAATGCAAAAGGGACATGCCGGCCCAATCACTGATAATAATACTCTCACCACAAGGAGTGACAATAGCAATGGCGGCAGCATGAAAGAATCCAAAAGCTTTCGAAGCAACTTTGTGCTACATCTTGGTATCTTGCTGATGCTGGGTGCCATGGCATTTGCCGCCGGGGTGCGACGATCATCTCCTATGCAAGCTGATGTGAAGCCAAAAGAAGTAGTGTTTGACGACAAGACATCATTTATTGCCCCCAAAGTCAGGATATCACAGAATCGGACCAGAAATAGAAGTAATCCTCACGGATATCCCGGAAGTTTGGTTATTAGGGAGCGATTGGAAAAACGCAAACAGGAAGAAGCAAGGAAAGCAAAGAAACCACATAGACAACATCCAGAGGCCACAGGAGACGTACCAAGTTCCATGAACGAACAACTGAAGGTTCCCTACCCAATATTTGTTCTGAACCTACCCAAATCCGGTACTACCACCCTGTGGCAATACTTTGAATGTGGCTTGGGTCCAAACAGGGCTGTTCATTGGTGGACCACTCAAAAAGGAAAACAGATTGGACCGTGTGTAGAGCACAATATCAAACAAAACAAGCCACCCGTGCAAAACTGTGGCACTTTTGATGTGTGGATTGACTTTGGGTACGCCGGGCCAGACAAGTGTTTCTTCCCAGCTGTACATGCATTGGAAGCACTCTATAAGAGCTATCCTGATGCCACCTTTTTGTTAGTACGACGGGACACGGAATCTTGGTACCAAAGTGCCAAAAAATGGGGAAAGATGTTTGAAAAGTGGAAAACTGCCTGCCGAAAGGATTTCTTTCCCAATCTTGCTGCGACCCAACCCGTTCACACGGAAGACTTTAGGACCTTCTACGAGACAACGACGTTACGGATACGGCAATTTGCAAAAGAGAATCCTGGCATGCGATATCTAGAACCAAACATGACCTTGTCCTCACCAGCATTGGGTGGATGGTTAGAAGAGAACATTGGCATTGAAGCATCCTGTTGGGGAAAGTGTAAACCGAACGGACACAAAGCCAGATGTGAAGGGAGATTTCGGTAGCACCGGTTGGTGGGAGGTGCGTTACGGTTCGACAGAAGAGATCCTTCCTCTGATAGATAAGCTGTATGGCGTCTTCGCTACCGGTAGCTAGCTAGTATATAGCCAGCATACAAACAACTTCGTCTTTCTGAAGAATCTCTGCGACAATGACAAGTCACGTCGAGTAGCGTTTTCGCCTCCAGACCTCACCCTACCCGTTGCTAAGCAGCATTGAGTACGTCCCCAGCTACTAGCTACCGTAACTCAGACTAATAGAAAGTCAAGTAGCAGTCTATGTTGGTAAGTATAGCCTGCATACAAACAACTTCGTCTTTCTGAAGAATCTCTGCGACAATGACAAGTCACGTCGAGTAGCATTTTCGCCTCCAGACCTCGCCCTACCCCGTTGCTAAGCAGCATTGAGTACATGTACGTCCCCAGCTAGCTAATAACTCAATTGATGACTAACGGTACTAATAAGTCTCGTAGCAGTCTATGTTGGTAAGTTAGGTGGGCTTCTAAAGGCTATTAAAAGTAGCAACTAATGATCCAAGCTAGCAGCAGGCTGGTCTGTGTTTGTTCCTTGGGTCCAAGGATGGTATGCAATTGCGTTCGTGGTGCTGTGGCACCTTCCTAAAACGTGTAAACAGATCAGCTCTAAGGTTGCGTTGCTTCTTCCAGTCTCTTCGGTGAAAACCGATCAGGTAGTGCGGCAAGCTTGTGATGGGTAGCAAGCATTTAGTCGGCTTGTCGACCAATGCGTAGGATAACGGGGCATCCTTCGATCCCCGGAGCAAGCAAGCAGGTGTGCTTAAAAAAAGTACTTGGACCAACCTGGAGCGGCAAACTTTTCCGTGTTGGTCTGGAGGTATTTGACTTCGACGTGGTCACTAAAGGAGACGACGGTGGTCTCGCTGGAGCGACGACTGTCATTGAGATTTTGAGAGTGGGATGATGTAGAAAGCAATGATGTTCTTCGAGAGCTGCCGGAGAAGCGGCACTGCCTCAGACAAGAGGCCCTCTTGCCAGTGGCTTCAGTAGTGGTAGGCTTTCGCCCGACCACCGGAGTGGAGTGCGCCTTGCGGAGTGTCTCTGGGGGTCCAAGCATGGCTGCGACTTCGCACAAGGCAGACTCTGACTGATGCTGCGAGACGTAGTGGTTCTCCCAAAGACGCCTCCTTGAACCTTTGGTTGCCGCAGCGGCAGCCCTATCAGGGCTCCCAGCATTCCTCCTTACGGGAGCTTCATTCCTCTCCAGAAGCCTCTCGTAACTGTCCACCTCCCCGGGGACAAGATCCTTGTTAGCCTCTGAGCGCGGAGCACTCGTTGTAGTGGGACGACCTTCTTGGCACGTCGATAGCAGAGGCTGTGTCTGTCTTGGTCTTCCCCCCTTATTCTCCCAATAGCTCCCAAAGATACTTCTCTGTGGCCTTCCACTCAACGCTGCCGTTGCTGTTGTTCCCCTGTCTGATGTGTCATCGAAATCCAATGGGAAATCGTCCAAGGAGACGGAAGATACCGAGCTGGAATCACAGGACTCGTCCAAGGTAGCCGAAGCGGCCGAGGAACGAGTCGAGACGCTCAGACAACGCAATGCGGGGGGTAGCTCATTGGAGTAATCGTCTTCGTGCATCTCTTGCTTTGGTTCAGGGCTCAACCCATGAGGTAGAAGCACTTGGAGTGAAGAGGGGGAGACGGACAAGGGGGTTCTCAAGTGGTCCAAATTCTCCAGAAGTTTGTCCTCGTATACCTCCAGCAAGTGAAAGTCGACCACCGCTCGAGGGCTGCTGTAAAGTCCTGTGGATGTCATGATGTTATAGGGTTGTTGCCTTGACCTGACCTGACTATGATGTTTCAATGAAGAGTGTTTGTTGCTCTTTGTCGTCACCTTTAAAGGATAGCCCAACAAAGATAATGACAGAAAGTCGCAAGGAAGAAATGCCAAGCCAACCAGCTGTTGTGAGATTGGATCCTTCCGCGAGTTTTCTTTGCTGGTGGTCGGTCGCCTGTTGCTTCGCGTTGAAAAGTAACTGTCAGCAGTGGCCTTCGCAAAACCTGAATACGGTAGTAGCAGCTGGCAGAGGAGGATGCAGGGCACTTGAAAGCCACCACGTGAAAAGACTTCAAGACTTGAGAGCTTTTAGACAGCTTTTCAATTGATTTCTCAGCCTTCTCATTGGTTAACGATGTCGACACGGGTCTTTCAAAATTCCACCAAGCGTTTAACGACCGCTTGATGTTACAGTCAATGTCTGTAAAATGCATTGGCGGATACTGGAGAACATGAGTAGCGGTGCTGCTGACGACATGCTGACCCTCGCCTTCCCAAAGCTTGGCTTGTCAGAGCTGGTGGAACCGTGTCATGGAAACTCAATTATAAATTCGGAACTGGAGATTCTTTTTACTCTTGCGATGCGAACACAAGCCCCTTGAAAGAAACCTTCAATGAAGCTCCGGTTTGGTCACAGTTGCTAGATCTACCGGTAACAAATGGATCCAGCGATCCAGATTGCTAGCTACAGTACTAGCTAGTAGCAAGAACACAGCTACCGGTAGCCTTTTAAAATAGACAGTACCGGTGTGTGCGTATACCGCAAACCAGTTCCGAACGTACCGTTGCTAGCCATAGCCGCTGGGGGTCTTGACTTTTGGCTTCGCATGAGCGAAGATCCGTGAAGCCCTCTAGTCGCAACCGTGGCATGAGGGAAGATCCGTGAACTCTTGGCAGCCCAAGAATTCTCGATCTTGCAAGCTAAGACTGACCTGGGCATAGTAGAGCAGAGGAGTTCCTGATCAGAACGGAAACCATCACAATCAGTCGACCGAGTGACATCGAGGCAAGAGCGAGGGAGCATGCAACGGATCAAGAAGGATGCAACTTCCGAGATAAGCAACGGAACCGGAACTCCTTTGTGAAGTGAGGTGATTGCCCACTCCTTCTTACCCCGCAAAGAAAGAGTAAAAGGCCGGAAAACATGTCATAGCATGGAACACCAACATCGACAACAACGCCAACCAAACAACGCGATGGTGGGGTGGAAAGCCCAATGTTCCATCCAAAATGTGAGGCGATCAAAAGTGGTCTTCGCATGGCAGCGTCAGAGAACAAAGGCGACGCTTCACCGTCAACACGTGATCTTTTTGCTATGTCTTATATTGCGGAACTGCACAGGAACATGTCTTAGTACGTCACAATAATCCACCACAGTGTAGATTGGAAGCCAAGAGAGCTGTTTGAGCAGCAACCGAAGGTTCCACGATGGCAGGGAGGTCATGAAAAATCATCATTGTAGCACCGTGGTGTTATGAAGCTGGTACCGTAATGCTGTACTGTAGTCCGTATTGGGTTTGCTCGAATTCTAAAGGAGAGCTGTGATCTCCTTTGTTTTTAAATAGTGCACTACACTCACTGCTGCGAGGACAAGGCCTGAAGGAGGCGCTGTCGTTTTGGACCGTCATCGAAGGTGGCAGTGATAAGCCTCTTGAGCTCTTGACCGCTAACATCTCGGAATGCTCCATTTGCAAGGTTGTTTTGAATGTCCAGCAGGGTCATGTCCATGAAGCGACCAATCGCCTCGAAACGGCCCCAGACAGCGGAACCAGACTTGTCGCCTCCAAGAAATCCTCCAAGAGTATTGGTCGCCTTCGAAAATAGTGCACTCACAAAGTGGCAAGCACTTTCGCTGATATCAGAGGCGCTCGTAACTTGCTCCAGGTAGATTGTAAACAAAGTGTCAGCAAGGTACCCAACGGAGCGGACAAAGATGTCGTGTGATAGAATCATGTTCCAGTTTTCCGAAAGATGCCGAATGTGGTACAATCCAGCAGCCAATGCGGTTTCTGCCTCCGACCACTCTGCCAGAATCTCGTCCGATCGGAGAGACTTTCCAAAGATGGTGATCCGCTTTCCCACAATATCAATCAATTGGTGGGCTTGGAGCTCGAGCATTTCCTTCATGGAACGATCGGCAAGTTCTCGAAAGAGAGGAACCATATCGAGAAAGGTGCATGTGTCATGGAACAACGATGCAGCATCGTTGGGTTCTTTCGGAGCTGTGGGGAGTTTCTTCTTGTACTCGAGACCCAACCAAAGGCACTGATGTTGGAAGTATACACAGTCGTTGTGGAACACTGCAGCGGTACGTGGAACTGTTGCGATCTCCTTGCCATGCGTGGCTTGAATAATGGCACGAAACAGGTCCAGGGCTTCTCTGGCCGCACGATAGAGCGTTGCTGGAAAGATTGCCATGGGTGTATCTCTGTCTTCTTCGGAACGAGCCACAGCGTGCTCTACGGATTCGTCCATTGCTTCTCTTACCAGCGCCATAAGTTTGAACGCTGTATCCGAGATGCTGCACTTGTGAAGCTCAAACACATCTTCCTTGGATCCCTTGTAGATTTCACGCAGGACTTCATTCTTTTCCCTCTTGGACTGTACATCCACTCCTGTCACCACCGTATTGTGATAGTCGTTCTTCAGCAAGATGGCACGTGCTTGATTGAGAATCAAGCATCGGCGGTTGTCAATGAATTTTCGTTCAAAGTTGGTGGAAAAGGCTTCTAACCTCGTACCATTGCTTCCATCGGGAATGGTTTCGTCTGTCGGGGTAACAAAATTCATCTCCACCAGTGTCTGAACAAAGGGAAGCGTAATGCGACGGAGCTCTTCCGCCATTGCTTGCAGTTGCGGCATTTCGTCTGGTTTGAGTCGTTCGGGGATACATGTCTTGGCCAGTGAGTCCACGAGGCTTTCCATGACAATGCCGTTGTCATTTCCACCAATCATACGGCTTTCCAGCCCTAAAGCTTCCAGATTCAAAGTGGCTGGCATGGCATTGGGTTTCCCAAACAATTTGCTGCCCACTTGCCGACACAAAATGTCATTCTGAAGAAGAACGTTGTCGTATACAAACTCCAACGTCCGGTGGAGAAAGTTCAAGGCCTGTTTCCAGTTTTCCAATACAATTTCTTGCTTTTGAAGTTTCTTTTTATTGTTGCTGGAATCGTTTTTCTCCACACTCTGATGTTTTTCCCACGTGAGTCGTAGAACGGCTCCTTTGACCCGAATTCGTCCCGTGTGAAATGTTGTGTTGTTTTCGACAATGTTTTCTTTAAAGGTCCATTCCAATTTCTTGACGTTATCCTCCGATTCCTCCTCGCTTGTGTCTGTCAGCGATAGTACGGGATCCGGTTTGGTAGTGCTTGCCATGTCCAGCACCGGTTTTAGCACCTGACGAAACAATTTGGAAGTGAATCGGCGCATGGTTTCTTTCAAAGCAGAGTTGGACTCTTCCGCCGACGAGAAAGCTTCCAGCACTCCATAGACTTCTTCCAGACTGGAATTTTCCGTTTCACTAATGGAAGAATCCGACGAAGCGTCTGCTCCGCGAACTTCGATGGATTGGTCGGTGAAAGTGACACAAATGTCAAACATAACCTTGGCTCTGTCGAGCAAATCGACACGTTCTCGTCGAATGGAAGAGAGAATGGAATCAATGATTTTGTATCCCGCCACCAGTGCTGGTGAATCTTGCAATTTTTCATCTTTGGTGAGCAAATGCTGTGCCTCTTCGATGGTGTCCTCCGCCTTGGCCAATTTTTGCGCCGATTCAATCCACTTGGGGTCGAGTGCCAACCCTGGCTTGGACAGCGCCATGGATTCGTCCAAGAGTGACCGAGCAAGACTGCATTGTCGGAGAAAGCTAATCTTTTTGGAAAGCAACTTGGCTTCGGCTTGCAGCTCTTCCTTGGTCTTTCCCTTGGTTTCTTGGTTGGCAGGATTTTCGGCAATGTTCTCTTGGTCTTCGGTCTTGCTCTTCCATTGACGCGATGACACCACTTGTTTCACTTCTTGCAGCTCGCCCTCAATTTCGTCTAGCTTTTCCCGCACATTCTTCTGGACCACCGATTGGGGCTGGCCAAAGAGCTCCATCCCCAGGTTGAAACTGGCATTGGGATCGGCGAATTGTGGACCAGTGCCATCCGTGGTTCCCGTCGACAAGGCCACTTCCTGCAAGGCTTCTTCAGTGGCTTTTCGGACAGCCTTGCGCACCGTCGAGAGACGACCTTCGACGGACGTATCCTTTGCAGCATCAGGAGAGGACGCCATGGTGATACCGGTAGACAAACAGCAAATGGAAAGGATAGAGAGAGAGTGAGAGAATGGCTTTCACCGATTTTGAATTTAAAGCCCAAGGGTTAGGGGTACCGGTTACCGGTACGAATAGAATCGAATCGCCGGCCGGCCCGTTTCAATTTTCCTTTTCATATTTTGCTTCGAAATCCTCTCTCTTTTCCAAGATTACCTCCATCATTCATGAACTTGACCTTCATCTTGCATCGGCTCTCTATTGATGATGTTACTAGTACATACTCTGACACGAGGCCCAGTCAGAAATTAGTTGCTGTTAACAAACTGAGAGATCTCAAGAATTCAAGTAAACACCATGGCGAAGATATCGGGTCGAGAATTGCGCATTCTTCATGCTTGTGTGGCATTGTCTTTGGTGGCAATAATGACAATGACAAACATCAACACGATATTCCAGCCTCGCTCGTCGATCCAAGAGCATATGTCAGCATCGAGAAGCACCGACTTGTCCAGTTCCTCGCGGGAGTTAGTTGCAGTGACGAACAAGAATCCATCCGACGAGGCTTGGCAGATTGTCAACAAGGCATATGCAGAGACATTTGCAGAAATCAAGGCTCTCTGCCCAGATCACGTCTCTTTTAGAACCTGCATCCGCAACAAGAACAAAGAGAGGGGAACCACTCGACCTTGGTGGTTCCAGACTATGCTTCGTGATGCAGTGCCTCGCAAGTCTTCGGGTGTGAAGGTAAGATCGGGTCGCCCACTTTTTTTGGTTGTCTTGTTGCAGTTTTTTTGCCACAGTCTAATTCAATAAGCTGATTCTCCCGTAGGACTCTCTTTTTGGAGAATGGCACGAACTCTACGTCATGGATCCACCCCTGAAACTCTGTGTAATGGAGAAAGTCGGAACTAAACAGTGGAGGAAGTTTCAGTGCAAGTTTAATGCCGGCAGACCGATTGGCGGAGTGAGCGGCGAAAACGCGGTATACTGCCAAGCCCCAGTTAACGTGAGAAAGGAAGATGCACCGCGAAGTGTGTTCATTCGGGACCCCCTGGAACGCTTCTTGTCCGCGTTTCTTGACAAATGCTGGAACTCGTGGCTTTCGGATAGTTACTGCAAACCGCGAGAAATCTTTGGAAACAACAGCCTCGCGGACAAAACCATTCTCTATGACGAAAAAACATTTTTCGAGACTTATGTCGACACTATGCCTCTCAAGTGGGACTTGCACTTCTTTCCCCAGAGTTTCTACTGTGATGGCCTCTATCGGCATTACAAAAACTACGACTTTGTAGGAAACATGGATATTGGCTTCTATGATCATTTGGAAACATTTGGGTCGAAATTCAACGTGTCGGATGCGGTGGAAGAGGTCTTCCAGCTCGCAAAGCACAGGAATGAAAGTTCTGTGAATCTCGGCGTGGAGACGGCTGCTGCCAAGCGAGTTCACAAGTTCTACAATGCGCGGACTGTGCGACGTGTGCTACAATACGTGTCAATGGACTATATCCTCTTTGATCTTCCCATCCCAAAGTGGGCTACGGAGATCCTAGTAAACGAAGAAGCAGTGCCAGTTGCCTCGAATTGAGTAAGGGGATACGCTAGCTCTGGGAGTGGATTTACGATGGTCTGGTGCGAGTTATGGGCAGTCAAGAGATCTGTGGGATCGGAAGTTGGAGAGTCTCCAATGCAGAAAACGAGGGAATACAGCAAGCAGAACCATGATGGATGTGTTGGCTTGGAAATGAGTTGGAACTCTTCCGTACTGTTGTACTAGTAGACGGTATCGTTGCACCATCAAGTGATGGTAGTCTAACGTTAACGAGCGATTCACACAATCTGGTTGATTCATAACAAAACCTAGGATATCTAACCTATAACTTTAGTCAAGATGCAGAAGGCAGGATGCATTTATTTGCAAAGGTCGACAGTTCGACTAGTCGTCCATGATTTGCGGCATTGGTTCAGCGACAGCGGATAGCAACTGGTGTAGCGGTACACCTAAACCTCGTACGCCTCTACGACAGCTTCGGTAGCATCAGCCACTGCAGCTTCAGCCGCGGCCAGCACAGCGTCATCGCTCTTCTTCCCGTCATCTTTCTTGTCATGGCCGGGTCCCATCAAGAGAGAAGCCATGCTAGCACTTTGGTTTTCTTGTGCAGCGGCGGCAGCGACGGCTGCTGCCGACGCAACAGCGTCTGCGAGACCGTGATCCACGCTCTCTTGGGCCACGGCGGCGGCAACGGCAGAGTCCCAGCTTTGCTTCCATTGGCACAGTAGATAAATCCCCTTGTTCATGGTCCGATAGGCCTTGTCGTACAGGGCATTGATGTCTACGCTGGCTGTGGGTACCATGACCTCGTGTTCGTCGTGGTGATGGTGCTCGTGGTCTTTGTCACCGTTAGTCGTAGCCTCAATGGCCGCACTGGTAGCCAGATCATCTGCCAGAGTCCCTGGTTCAGCTCCGACAGAAGCAGCCACAGCCGCTGCAGTGGCCGCAATGTCAGGAGGGGCAATGCCAGCTGCGTCTGGTGGCGGCGGCGGTGGCATGGTTGGGTCATGATGATGTTCATGAGGGTGAGGATGCGGGTGGTGATGGTGGTGGTGAGGACTCACGGCATCTACCAATCGTTGGGAATCCATGGCAATCTCAGAAACAACCCGCTGAAGATCAATCCCGATTTCATTGAATCCGTAGCCCTCCGCAAGAGGGCGAAGACCTTCCATGGGATGGATCACAATGGCACCCGGACTCATCTTGAACTTTTTTGGGATAGAGGTGGACCCGAAAACGGTTACTCCCCCATCCAGGGTCTGACCGTTCCGAGGTATGTCGCTGGGTCGCTTTCGTTGAGTTCTCCGTTTTTCATTGAGATTTCGCTGACAGGTAAAGCACAGGCCAGATCTCATGTAGAGTGAAGCCGGTTCATTGGGATCACTATCGTAGATCAAGACAGGCACTCCAACTTTGTTGCAGTCTGTTCCAGTGAGATCCAATCAAAAGATGAGACGAAAGAGTGCTTCATGATATCTTCAGTGTGATGTTTGGGAGGACACTCACCAGCATTGGTGCAACTTGTCTTTCCAGCGCCAACGGGGACGGTGGTATGAACCGTGGTTTGTGCTGGGATAAGCCAGTTAGAAAATTGCAGCATTGTAGGGTACGCCTTGTGATAATAAGGGTGTACAGCACTCCTTTACTTACCTGCCTGAATATCTGCTTCTGTGGGAATGATAGAATAGTCCAGGATGACAAATCGCTTCTTCTTGAGCCGTACCATGACTTGTCCATCATGGACTCCTTCCAGGCCAGGTTTTCGGTGGTAGATGTTTCCATTCGCCCTTCCGAGACGAAGATCCAAATCCTCTTGATATTCTTCCGGAGGTAGAACGACTTGAATACCCATGTTCATGATGACAAAGATTGCGCGAAATCAGGAACGAGAGAGATATTGAGATCCTATTCTGATTGGTTATCTCCTGTGGCAAAAAGATCCAAGAGAGATAACAGTGTCAAAAGGATGCAATCTCGTGCTTTTTTCACGATACCAAATCCAGTAGCAGTGAGCCTTGATGAGCAGCTCGTTGCCGTGCCCTGTTGGTATCCAAACGAGAACATGAATAATCGTCCTCAACACGAAAGATACGCTGATCGAATCCTTTTCCTGAGAACCCTCATCTTCCCAAGTCCATGATACTGAGTGAAAATAAATGATATCCCACCAACTCAAGCGCTCGACCCGATACCGCCAACGACGCCAAAACACAGCCAAGCTCACATCTCTGGTCAGTTCCTGTTCCAAATTCGACTCCCATGAAGAAACAATGCGCTACTGCGCTGCGCCCTTACCTTTCTCATGCATGAAACCGCGCGATGAGACGAAATGGACCAACACAACAGAACCAACGCGCGATGGTGCTGCTGTTGCCTCCAGATTATTACACGAAGTTCAACCTCGTCAAGGTCCCAAGCTGGCGTCAGGAGTATCTTCGAGAACGCAGCTCTGCTGGTTGAGTACGCGACAAGTGCGCAGCCGCAAAATGTGTGGGTCTGGGCTGCTTTCGAGGATCCTTGGCGAGAAAGCCGCTGATGACATCGAGAACAAATCGAAGGCACAGAACAAACCCGCAGCCAGATATTGAAAGGTAGCGTCCAGGTCTCGAGAGCCGCTGACAAAGGAAAAGCTGACAAAGTTACGGTTGTGTCCATAAAACTGAACTTGAAAAATGGCCGAAGACGAAGCGAAAGCAGCAGAGGCTGGACAGCCTCCAGCTGAAGGCGAGAAGAAGCTATCAAAGAACCAACTGAAAAAGCTTGCAAAGGGCAAGGTAAGCTGGAAGATTTTTGTAGATTCGGAAATTGGTTGCCCGTTTTCAAGTCGCTGATTCGATTCCACTGCGCTGTTTTCATTTAATTTAATTCAATTGAATGTTTCCAGGGCAAGAAGAAAGAAAAGCCTCAATGGGGCGAAGGAAAGAAAGATAAGAAACCCAAGAAGGAAGCTCCAGCAGCGCCCAAGTTTGTCAATACTACACCCAAAGGGGAAAAGAAGGACTTGTCCACTATTCCCATGGCGAGTGCCTATCATCCTGAGGCTGTAGAGGCTGCATGGCAAGATTGGTGGGAAGCCTCTGGGTTCTACTCTTGTGATCCAAAGGCAGCGGTTGGAAGACCAACTGACGAAAAATTCGTCATGGTCATCCCTCCTCCCAACGTTACTGGATCCCTCCATTTGGGACATGCCTTGACGGCTGCTGTGGAAGATACCTTGACTCGTTGGCATCGGATGAAGGGACATGCTACCCTCTATGTTCCAGGTACGTTATTTATTTGATCAATCGTTGTTTTGAGTACTTGTATACTACTAGTACAACAAGCATGGGTCCACTGGGCAGCCAAACGCGCCTTTTATGCGCTGAATTTGGCAATCGGCTCCATGCGAAATTAGAGGCTCAATGGCACAACGAGTTTTATAGGTGTTTTGATCACTATTTCTCACTGTTCCGTTTGGGTGTACACCTTTCTTTCTTTTCTTTGACATTGTCAGGAACGGATCATGCTGGCATTGCCACCCAATCGGTGGTCGAAAAGATGCTCGTTAAAAGTGAAGGGAAAAATCGTCATGACTTGGGACGAGAAGAATTCGTCAAGAAAGTGTGGGAATGGAAAGGCGAGTATGGAAACAAAATCACAACCCAATTGCGACTCTTGGGTAGCAGTGTGGACTGGGGTCGAGAAAGATTCACCATGGATGATATGCTCAGCAAAGCCGTCGTGGAAGCCTTCAATCAGTTCCACGAAAAAGGATTATTGTACCGAGCCAATCGTCTTGGAAACTGGTCTTGCGCACTAAAGTCGGCAATCTCGGATATCGAAGTGGACTACATTGACTTGGAAGGAAGAACGTTCTTGGAAGTCAAGACTCACAAGGGAAACCCCAACGACGCAAAGGGACGTTACGAGTTTGGTACGCTCACGTCGTTTGGATACCCAATTGAGGATTCGGAAGAACAGCTCGTTGTTGCTACCACCCGTCTGGAAACCATGCTCGGTGATACCGCTGTGGCCATCCATCCCGAGGATCCCCGCTATAAACATTTGCATGGAAAGTTTGTAGTCCATCCATTCAATGGCCGTCGTATTCCCATTGTATTGGACGCTGAACTTGTCGATATGGAGTTTGGTACGGGAGCTGTTAAGATTACGCCTGCCCATGATCCAAATGATTACGAATGTGGTAAAAGACACAATTTGGAATTCATCTGTATTCTGACAGAAGACGGTTCCATCAACCACAACGGATCGCAGTTTGAAGGCATGATGCGTTATGATGCTCGTATGGCCGTGGAGGAAGCTCTGAAAGAGAAGGTGGGTTTGTGTGCCTTCTTTGTGGTCTCGATTCTTGTTTGAAGATGATATGTATGCCTGGATGCTCACCGAGTCATTGGTTTCATTTCTACGCTTGAAGGGACTCTACAAAGGGAAAGAACCCAACAAAATGCGTCTCGGTCTGTGCTCACGTAGTGGAGATGTTCTTGAACCAATGATCACGCCACAGTGGTATGTCAACTGCAACAGCATGGCCAAGCGGGCAGCAGATGCGGTGAGAAATGGCGACTTGAAAATTGTTCCTAATGATCATGAAAAGACTTGGTTCCAGTGGCTGGACAACATCAGGGATTGGTGCGTTAGCCGTCAGCTGTGGTGGGGCCACCAGATTCCGGCGTGGTTTGCAACGAAGAAGGGCGAAACCGGCATTTCGAAGAACGACATGGAGCACAACGACAGATGGGTGGTTGCTCGGGACGAAGAGGTACGTTAGGCCTTGTTGTTGTATGCGGCGAGGTTTATCTGTGTGTGAAATTGCTCACCTCATTAGTCTGTCTACACCAGGCTGCGTACGAGAAAGCGGAGAAACTCCTTGGCTGTGCACGCGATGAGATTGTGTTGGAGCGGGATGAAGACGTCCTGGACACCTGGTTTTCTTCAGGGCTTTTCCCGTTTTCGGTCTTTGGCTGGCCTGACCAGACGGATGATTTGAAAGCTTTCTACCCAACGTCGCTACTTGAAACCGGGCTCGACATTTTGTTCTTCTGGGTCGCCCGAATGGTGATGATGGGTCTTGAGCTGACGGACCATCTTCCATTCCACACCGTATTCCTTCACGCCATGGTAAGAGACAAAGAGGGGCGAAAGATGTCAAAGTCCCTAGGAAACGTTATCGATCCACGTGAAGTGATTTCTGGGTGCTCTTTGGACACGTTGCAAGGACGACTCACGGCAGGAAACTTGCCAGCCAAGGAAATGGAGCGTGCAAAGAAAAACATGCAAGATGAGTTTCCTGATGGTATACCCGAGTGTGGTTCGGATGCTCTCCGGTTTGGTTTGCTTGCCTACACTGTGCAAGGCCGAGACATCAACCTGGATGTTAAGCGCGTGGTGGGCTATCGCAATTTCTGCAACAAGCTTTGGAATGTCATTAAGTTTGCCTTGGGTATCGTCACTGACTTCGCGCCAACTCCAACACTATTGGATGACTTGATGAAAAGTGGAAAAATGTCAATTCGCGACAAATTCATGGTGTCTCGGCTCATGACAGCCAGCAAGGACGTCAACGAGTGTCTAAGAACATACCGATTCGGCGACGCACAACAACTTTCCTATTCGATGTGGATGGACGATTTGTGTCTTCTTTACATTGAACTTATCAAACCTGTTGTTTACAACAACGACGACAAGGATAGTCGCTGGGCAGCTCAAGCCACCCTTTGGGTTGCCTTGGATATTGGCATGAGGCTGTTGCACCCCATGATGCCATTTGTAACCGAAGAGCTATGGCAGCGCCTTCCCGGCCGTGGTACGCTGGGTCCTGACGAGACACAGACAATCATGCTGGCCAAGTATCCAGAATGCATCGACGAGTACTTGAATCCCGAGGTTGAGGCATCAATGGCCGCAACGATGAAGGTGATCAACGCATGCCGGTCTTTGCGGGCGTCTTATCGCATCGTTGACAAAGTAAAGACCCATTTCTTTGTCAAGATTAATGGCCCGGACGAGGCTGCCGTGGCTGCCCAGACTGACGACATCAAGACTCTTGCGAAAGCATCGGCCGTGGACATCAACCCTGCAGAAGACGCGATTCCGCAGACGGTGGGAACTGTGGTCATCGATGAACAGACCACTCTGCTAATGGATTTGAAGGGTTTGGTTGACTATGAAGCCGAGATCAAGCGACTGAGCAAGAGTCTCAACTCGACACTCCCCATTCTCAACAAGCTCGAGAAGACCATTGCAGCCCCAGGCTACAAAGAGAATGCGGCGGAAAATCTTCAAAAGGAGAATCACGAGAAGCTTGAAGGGTTGCAAAAGAAGAAGGCTGACATTGAAGAGGCAATCAAAAACTTCGAACGCCTGAAACTGTTGGAGACGAGCTAACTTGTGGCCTCTATCGATAATAGAAATATTACTTTGTCGCTACTAGCATCGTCTTGTTAGTTAGTTAGCAAAAGGAGGGGCGTGGTTGAGCTCCTCCGGCAGCCTGCAACGGGGTTTCTGGAAGGCCACTCGACAGACAGCAGTTTCATGGTTTGCGTCTCCTTTGCTTGAAAGAGACTGGTGGGGGTGGCGGTAGGGCAGCGGGGACTACCACTGACGAGCTTCGAGCCTTTAAGGCAGCCTTCTTCGCCTCGATTTCTGCGAGCTCCGCTCTAATCTTCTCCGCACTTGCCTTGAGATCCGCGGATGATTGCTCCTTTTCTTTGGGCTTTGATTTTTGTTTGTTGTCTATCGCCGATTGGATCGATAGGCGGATGTGTTCAGGGAATGGGTCGCGATCTCTCCTCGCAGAGGAAGCCTTGAACTTCACGAACCCACCGTACTCTTCTTTGGCGCCCTCCTCTCTTTCCTTTGCCTACACATTTGTTGTGGTGCGTCCAGGAGTCAGTCTCTGCAAACCTATCCAACCCGTGCAAAACCAGCCAGGTACTCACCTCGAGTCGAGCAAGCGAATCCAGCCTCGAAGCAGCGGATACAAACGAACCGGATCCGATCGATTTTGGCGCCTTGGCCTCGCCCGTGATCCCTAGACCCTCCACTTCCCAATCTTCTTGGCGGCCTCCGTCCCAATCTTCACCATCGCCATCCCCATGAGGTCGAGTCCACTAAAGAGATGCAGGTATGTGAGCGCATGCTGCCGTGATGATTCGATTCGTCGTGACGGTGTAACACAGAGTTTCTTTCCCTTACCTGCCCATTCCAACGATTCTTTTCCTTCGTGGTCTTGGCCATTTGCTTCTGTTTCGAGAGAGCTCTCATCGATTCGGCGGCTGAAATGGCTTTTTCCATCTTTTCAGGATTTTGGCATACATCACAGCTCTTTTGGCAAATTGTTTTTGGATCCGTGTCTTTCTCACCAAAGTATTTCAGGACGCAATGCCGTCGGCAAGAAGCAGTCGTGCAGTACCCTACAACGCATTCCAAAGCGTCCAGCTTTCGTTGAGTTGCCTCTGCATTGTCCGCCGCCCCTCCATTCTTTCCTTGTCGTTTCTCGGCCTCTTTTCGAATGAGAAATGAGAAGAGATTGGCGTCGTCCCTCGAAAAGTAGACCAATGATATGGCTGGCAGTCCATCTCGTCCAGCACGCCCGCTCTCCTGATACAACAGAAACCAGAAGTTCGCGGAAACTCATAAGATCAGTCAAGAAACACAACCATGCACACTGTTACTATGACTGCGAAGAGTTTTCGGTTCGTTACCTGATAAAAGCCGTCCATGGTCTTGGGGATGCTCCAATGCACCACATAGCGGACATGCGCCAGATCTATGCCCATCCCGAGCGCGACCGTCGCTACGCAACATTGTACCTTGCCAGAAAGCCAATCTTCCTGCACCTTTGTGCGATCTGCAGGTTTCATACCGCCGTTGTACGCACCAACTTGGAGTTGCGTTCGCTTGGTGAGTTCTTTGGCGAGGAATGTTGTGTCTGCTTTCTTGTGAACATAGACGAGCCCGCTGCATTCGTTGTTCTCTTTTGCTGCCCGCCTGTGCTGCTTTTTGACAAACTTGGCCAGGTCCGCAAGTGATCCACCTTCTGCTATACTGTCCAGACCGTCCTTGTAGTGAACTTTGTAAAAGATGTTCGGGCGATCGAAGGACCCAACATGGCAGGGTGCCCTCTCCAGCTTGAGATTCTTCTTGATATCTTTTAATACAGCAGGGGAGGCTGTGGCGGTAAGAGCCATGACACTCAAGTCTGGAAATTGGTTTCGAATATAATCCAGCTTGCGATAGGCTGGGCGAAAGTCGTGTCCATACGAGGAAATACAGTGTGCCTCATCAATTGCAAAACCAGCCAATCGATTCTTTTTGTGAAGCTCGTTCAGAATGTTTTGCATCCTTGATGTCCCAAGAGACTCAGGGGTAACATACAGTAAATTGATTGGTTTTCTTGCGTTTTGATCTGTCTTTTTTGTGTTGGTTGTCGTGTTCAGGTTTCGGCCAAGGACTGCAGAGAGAATTTGATTGTTTTCAGATTCCTTGTTGGAAGAGTTGACACAAGCCGCCGAAATCCCTTTCTTTGTCAGTGCTTGTACTTGGTCCTTTGTCAAACGCAGAAACTAAGAGTTAGACCGTGCTGCATGCCTTTGTTCATTGTTTGCCATCATACCGGTATCCATGATACTACATGCACAGTACCTTCATCAGAGCGATAAGAGGAGAAATCACAATGGTTGTCCCACCAATGACAACTGCAGGTAGTTGATAACACAGACCTGTAGTAGAAGTGGATAGTGAATAATTTGTTGAGAGAGATTTTCAATTGTGTCGAAAACTTGCTCGGCATCACTTACTCTTTCCGCCTCCTGTTGCCTGCAAGATGAAATCAGAAGAAATTTTTTGTGAGTGCACCATTCTTTGCTTCTGGATTTGATGTACAGTACATGTTGATTGTGGAATGTCATTGGTCATGGCGTATCGTACCATCACTATAATTTGAGAATGCCCCTTCAATGCACATTCCACCGCTCTGGGTTGCTGATTTCGGAGCTTCTCAATTTTGAACACATCTCTCAAGACTTTGCGGCATCGTGTTGCTTTGTCTGTGTAAGAATCGCTGGAAATAGGTCCATAGCCAGAAGGAACCAGGCCCAATGACAAGGTAGTTTGGACTTTAGTAGTCGTTGATGATGCTGGCATCTTGGCAGCGTTACTGATCGCTGCTCTTGGTTTCTTGCTTGCTTTGGCTGCTGATGCTTTCTCATCTACCAAATTACCCGACAAAGTCGTTTGGCTGCCAGTCTTTCGCTTCTTGGCGTTGTCCGAACAGGCCGCATTGGAGCTAGCCTTGCCGACGATGGCGACGTTACCAGAGGATTTTGCCTTTGCCTTCTTTTCTCTGGTCGTTTCACAAATAAAGCAGGAGCCAGCAGTGTCATTTACGTTTCGATAGCTGCAGGCTTCACAATTCCAACCCATGGTTGCGTATTTGTGATGTTCAAAGGATCTTGATTGATTGAAAGGTGGTCTTTTCTGGAAGGCCGCCTACAAAATGTGGCGGTTCTTTTGTCCTTGATCGCGGTCTTTTGGCACGAAGTTTCACGAGATTTAGCCCCAGCCCTATTTAAGATTATGACGTGGCACTGGGTCCGTCTGGCCTTGACCCGAGACACAAACGTACGCACTTGCGAGAATGCTGTCCTCATCAACGGCATGGCGGCGTCAACAACCGATGGAAGCTGCAGCCTCTCACTCAGCACCATCATCTGTCAGCACCATCATCTGCCCCAAGGACAGACAACAGCAACAACTGTTGCCACCTGCAAGACGAATACTACAGTACCACCTCTGGCTTGTTAGTGCAATTCCTAACGATGGCTCGACTTTCGTTCCTCTTGACCCTCATGGTAGCCTCCATGGCTGCCATGTTAACCACAGCATTTGCTCCAGCACAAACATATGGTAGGTAGATTCTTGCCCATCCTCATCTTTTTTGTCTCATCAATTTCTGAGGGATTCTCGAGGATTCGTCACATAGAGATGATGTTTACGTCGATCCAGTCCAGAGAGTGATTATCTCACTCAGGGATTTCTTTTCTTCCCGATTTTTCTTTCCGAACAACTAACTAATACACACATAGGAGTCCGACCATCTACCACAGCCCTCCCTGTGAAGATCAAGGTCGATGTTGGTGATGGCGAACCAATTGAGAGTGCCCTCCGTCGCTTCAAGCGTGAGGTCAACAAGTCGGGACACTTGATGGAACTCCGTCATAAGCGTTATTTCGAAAACCCTCAAGAAAAGAAGAAGCGCAAGGTCAAGGAGGCTCGTATGCGCAAAAAGTTTGAGCGAATGAATAGACGCCGTATTGCCCAGCGAACTTAGGAAAATGGAAGCAAGGAAAAGAAAAATGTAGTCAATTGGTTACGGCGGTAGCCGATGGAAAGGATTGCCTGGTGTAGTTTTGTTGGTATTAGCATGGGCATCAAGAAATGTTCTTTACTAAACAATCAACAATTGTCTTTCTATCTACGTTGTGGTGGTTATTGGGCTGATGCAATGATCGAGAACTTCTCAATCCTGAAATCAATTTGTAGCTTGTTTTCTGGGTTGAATACATGTAGATTAGCTGGAAGCCTGTTAGTAGCATTCTAGTTCTAGATTTCAATCATTGGAGGTACCATTTTCACCAAAGTAGCTTGTTGACTCCCGTTCACGTGTCTTCACTTTTCACTTCAGTTCAGGTAGACACAAGACAACCTCTTATCGTTGAGCCCCCGCGGTCAAGGGAAATAGCCCTCTCTCTGTACATGTACTTTGCCCAGAATGGAATGCGCACGTCGACAACTTCCTACGCAGAGTTGTGCATCAACCTTGATCTCGTGCACTCAGGATAGATCTGTCTTGGCTACTACAGAACCACCATTGTCTCATCATCGTGGCCATTATGGATTCACTCGACAAGCAAAAGATTGCAAGCATTGTCTACCGCTGCCCAACTGTGGGATCTGCTGCGGGCTACGATTGTACAACCAATCATCCGACCTATGATCTGTGCTGGGCTCCTCATGACGGCTTGCTGCACTTACTTTGTTTTGAGATTCAGTCCAATGTATCTTGGCCCCAACTATTCCGGATGAAGTGAGCTTCTTTAGAGATTCTAAAAGGGCCTTTTTGGCTCCTTCCAGTTCAAAATCTAAGGGATGCACGCTTCCCTCCACCCTGGATATCTGCCTAGGTCAATGATTGCTCCAGCTTAACCCTTCCAGGTTCCAGGAGCAGGAGAGAGGGGACCCCATGACACTAAAGCTTTCATACTCAAGATCAAGGACCCATCCTGTCTCTCATCATGCTCCTGTCCCCGTCGAATTGAGAACGAAATACTAGGTATGAGTGTTTCGGAAGCGTTCGTTCTTTCCGAATGGTTTCCTTTTTCCAGATTTTCTATCGGAGTGGACAAAAAACACTATCCCTATTTAACAAATGCTTCCAAGCGCCTGCGTGCTTGGGTTTCTCATAACGTTCGGACGTTGACTTTAGAGAGTAAAAACACCTTTGAAAGTTTACTTACACAACGACATCCACCTTAGCGAGCAGGCTCCGTGAAGGCGAAGAAAAAGCAATTGGATCGGGCATCAACCGACCCTGCTCCATGGTCTTGTGGGCAAAGGAGTGCCGTTGTTGATCAAATACCAAACAAGGAGCTAGCTAGCTGAAGGCGTCGGTAGCGAAAGCATCTAACAATAGCATCATCATTCGCTTCGTCTAACCATCAAGAAAGGCCGTCGTGATTTGCATTGAGCAGTCTCTGGTTTCGTCCACAAGAAGACAACATCACGCATCACAAAATGGGCAGCCTTTGGCAGCGAACCAATCACATGCGGCAATCATCAGCGTCATGTCGATTTCGTAGACCCATTCACAGGAGCTGTGCATCAGTGCTAGTGAGCCTGATAGTGCTGTTGTCATCATCGCTGATATCAAAACATGGAGTTGTAGTAGAGGCAGGCAACAACAACAACAACAACTACAATCAATACAATGGGCAGAACTACTATGGCAACAACTACAATGGAGGAGGAGGAAACTATCAAAACTACAACTACAACAATAACTACAACAACAATGATGACGGAGGAAACAATAACAACAATGCTGATGATGGAGATGACTATTACGGAAACAACGACGATGGCGCGAACAACTGGAACAATGACGACAACGATGATGCCGGGGGCAACGGCAACAACGCCAATGGAGACGACGCCAACAACAACGCCGATGGAGACGACGCCAATGGAAATGGAGGAGGCGATGCCGTCCAAGCAGAACAAGCCGCATACGCCAATGCCGACGATGACGTCTTTCACTGGAACTCCAATGTCGGGTTTGACGGAGTCAGTGTCATGCCAATCTCCTGCATCAACTAGTGAGTGCTACTACAACACAACTGAGCCTATTTTATTTATGTGGACTCTTTGCTTATCTATGTTTTTGCCTTTCCTTTTTGTGTAGCAACGGCGGACAAATGATCAAGTTTCAGCTGTTTGACTCTGAGAACAGCTACCAATGCCACTTCTCGGAAATCGCAACCTTTGTCGTCTCGATTGCTCACTACATGAGAGGATATTTCAACTATCAGGCTTTGGTCAATGGCAAGGACTTTGAACTGCCGGCTGATGCTGGATATCTGAACGTAAGTCGTGTTTGTGATGATTTGGGTACTGTATTGGTACTGCTGCTGGAACAGTCATCATCTCATCCATTCTTCTGCTCACCAATGCATACTGCAGTGTGTCATGCTGCAAGAAACAATCCAAAACGATTCTCCTCTCTACGCCAAAATCGGATGCGTCGATCGGGAAACTTTCACCTCCACAAAGTTGCAGCTTCATCTGTACACCGACAACCAATGCTCGCAAAAGTTTGATGACGGCCAAACCAGCCGAAGACATGCATCGAAAGGATACGATATCAATGGCTACAGCTTCCCTACACGAGTCTCCTTCCGCCCTCCATGATGCAGGTCGACCCACATGTGCGAAATCATACCAAGGTTTCGTTGACCAAACGCAGCAGTTTTCCCAATGCCACAGACCACGAAACATTAATGACAACAGATGAGCGCCATTGCCAAGCGGTGCGCAAACCGGCATACGCTGCTCTTCCCGTTATAATTTCTATTCGCTTATTTGATTGGCTGTCAGGATCGTTTTGGCGAACCTACGATAGTGAGCTATCATTGCCCCCGTCACAAAACGGTTGGCACAGATGATTAGAGACAGTCCAGGCCATAAGTGTTGCACACACAGGGAGTGCTGTGCGTGAGCCGATCGCCGTATTCGGAAGAAATCGAGGGCTCGGCACTCTTCGTCACACCAAACCCCATACTTGTAGATACGCTGGCACATGTTCCAGTCTCCAACATCGTAGTTGTTTTCATACAGCGACCGACTTGCTTGAAGCTCATTGTATTCGCCCCAGAACTCTGCATTGTAGGCCTGTTTAAGGAGATGAAACAAAAGTTAGCACTAACCTCGTAAAGCTACATCCTAGGCCTGTTCTCCTTGCAACGATTGCACGTACTTCTAATTGACCGGGGGCGGCTGCTTCGACTGAAGCAAGGGGCGCTTCCTTCTCGGCCAACTCCAGCATTCGATGTCGCATTCGTCGGCCACCACCATCATCGTTGTAGTAACCGTCATTGCCATCGTACTGGTAGTAGTACTGTATTCATTAGGTTGAGCTGTGTTGTTGGCTTCTCGCCGTCATCAGTCTTTTGCGCTGTTCTATAGTCATACATCCATTGCAGCACAAAGCGTTGTAGACTTTAGAGACCGTCGTACCATGATAGTAATACAAGTCGTTCATCTCGATTCCCATTCATCGATTGGCTGTGTTGATAGCATCGTTTCCCTCATCATCAGTCATTGGTTTCCCCCACCTTCTTTTTTATGCCCACTTTTGGTCTACCATGTAGCCGTAATTCGTCGTACCAGTTCCATTCCTGTTAAAGTATCGAGATTTCATTTGCGACGAACAGCCGGTGTCACAGGTATAGA